GTATTTTTGTTTCCTCCAATTTGGCCAGCACACTCTGTATCTGTGACGCCCCTTGGTTTCACACAAGGCTGTAGTCCAAGGTGAACCTAAGGATGTTAAATCTTCCATGCACTGAACACTATGCAATAACACGTTTCACCATCATAGGAATCTCTCTCTAGTGGAATCAATAAAAGACAGTGCAGGTACAAGCAGATATAAAAAGGATGTAAACAGGAAATAAGTCATAGATATAAATGATCAACATCAGATATAATCAAGTCTCAACAGGTATAGAAGAAAATACGTCCAACAATCTGATACAAATGATAAATAATCTAACTACAAGAGTTATCTGAAAAGTACATAGGTTCTTAGCTCTCAAAATGAAATGCAAGTCTAATAATCAACTAAAATCAAAACTAAACAACCGTGGAGCAGAAACTACTATAAATAAATAACGGTGACTATGTTGAAAGTTCGTCAACCTGTAGCTCTCCGAAAATCTGATCTGCTGTCTGAAAAGAAAGGAAATCAACAGCGTCAGAGCGCTAAGAAAATCATCTCCATCCGCCCCCAGGGAAAGGGCTACTAGATACGATGGAGGCTCTACCTATAAGTGCATAGTCTATCTAAATCATTTTATCCTATACTACATGAAATTTATATTTAGAAACCCACAACACAAGACTGGTACGTCGAGCGAAATAATCCAAACAAGGAAACCCTCATGTATATATTATATGTCTCAAGTTGTAAATCTCTAAATATAAATTCCAACTAAACAAGTAAAATAATAAAGAAACACAATACAAGAAAATATCACAACAAACATCTCCATAAATATCATCGAACTCCTCATTTTACCCTTGAGGGTAAAGTAGATACCAATACAAAATTTCCATATACCAACGACGTGAAGTACCTCCACAATAAAACATATAAAAAAGAAATTCAATCATCACCTGTGACTCATGTTATCATCAAGTCTATTAAATCATCCTTCTCTGAAATTCAACTCATCGCATCCCCGTGCGGATCGACAAATAGGTATATTAACATCTGCGCATAACCATACGAAAACAAAACATAGGTTCATCGACCTCTGTGCGCTCTCGTACAGATACAAGAGATATAGGTTCATCGACGTCAGCGCATGCCCGTGCGGAAACAATAATGCATAAAGGAGTGAAGTCCATCGCTGTCTCATTGCAGTATACTGATTAACGCACTCAGAGTGTAGTCCATTCGCGGTTTCATTGCGGGTACTAACTGACCCCACTCAACCAATCGCAACTATAATAGAATATAATAATCGTCACTCGTAACGATGCAAACTATTTGGCCACTACAAACAATGAATTTGTACGTACTCAAACTCAATGCATGAACTCCTCAAAATATGTGTATAGAACAGCACACGACTTACACTACTCGCTCGCAAATTGAACCCACAATTAAAAGAAACAAACATCACATATAAGGCTTGATCAGTCGACCAACAAGGAGCTTCGGTCGACTAATCGGCTGCTTGAATGAGGCTGACTGCACCTTATCAGTCGACTGACGCACGCGGTCAGTCGACTAATCAGACCGAAATTTGCCAGGTTTCGGTTTCTGCTTGGTTTTTCTTCAAAGCTCGGTTTTTTATCAATAGATTTGATTTAGAACTCATGGATACTTGACAAAAGGTCGTTTAAACTAGATAAACTCTTGTAGATTCATAGATTTAGGGTTTAGCCTTCTAATCATAATTTTTGTTTAACATGATTAATTAGGGTATTCACACCAATTTAAAATAAGATTTACCAATTAAATGCAACTCTAATGATCATGATCATCTAAACTCGATAATTATAGATTTATTTTACTGTTTATAACCGTGATTTAAGATTTAACATCATAGATTAGGTTCTAACACATTAGATTAACCCTAAACATGAAATTAAACATAATTATCACATAAAAACTTGATTTTTAATTAAGGAGAGGTTTGGAGGGAGGTGATCTTACCTTTTGCCACGTGCAAATCCCTCTGAACCAAGTAGGGCTCGATCCTTCGTCGTCAAACGTCGCAAATCTCGACTTTTCCTCAGTGTTCGCCTCACGAAACTCTTCCAAAAACACAATTTAGACTTAGGGTTTGAGAGGGAAGAAGAGGGTCTGCTAGGGTTTTGAAAAGATGAGTTTTTCGTGTATAAACACACCCACACACCCACACCCACACACCCACACACCCACACACACAGCTGCAAACCCGAATCAAAACAGCCCAACCCGAAACAAAGCAAACAGACCCGAAACTGGAAACCCAGTCAGACTGGGAAAATAGTCTTTGGTACTTTGGCTGGAACTTTCTCGTCCGACCTCGAATGAGGTGATTTAAGATGCGTTGGAAAGCTATTTTAGAGACCTACAACTTTTGTTTTTTGAGCTTTTCCAGATTCGAACTGTATCGGTGTGTAATGCATATATACTCTTAACTGGTTGTTTTTTTCAGATTTCTTCTTTGTGCATGTTTTAGTCGTTTCGTGCATGTTTAGCCTTTGTATACTCTCATATATACTCTTAATTGATCTCAAATCAATTGTTAGCATAATCATACATTCACACTTGATATTTATCATGATTAAAACTCATTTATCAATATTAATCAAAATATTTTCAAAATTTACGGGGTTTTACAATATCCTTGATGTATTTGTCCTTTGCTTTGGCAGCAACTTCTTATTAGTCTGTGCCAATATTAAAAAAAACAAAAGCGCGGGGTAAAGCGCTAGACCCTTTGATGAAGCGAGGCGTAAGCTTCAAAGCGTGAGGCGTAAGCTTCATGAGTTAAGTATTTTAATTTTAAATTTGTAAAAATTATGAACATATAGTATATAGTGGTATAATAATTTACACATATATACATTCATGTCCTGATTAGTAAATAAGAATTAAATATGTGAAGTGTTGAAACGAATCATAATGCACTAAGCTACATGCATAACATATATGTTTTAGTTACAATCACACGGTCATATTGAAAATACATGGGGCATTTTAATATAAGTAAAGAAATCCTTAAAAATCCTTTTATATTCTTGCATCTTGTCTAAAGTGTGCGCTTCAAAAGAAAAGCGCTTTATGAAGCACAAAGCACACACTTTAGTTATGCTTTTAGTGATGAGATGTAAGCTTCAAGGGCTAACGAGCTTCACTCTTGAGTCTTGAATTTTGAAGTGTTTAGCCATTAGAAAGTTGTGAAGCGAGTTTCAAAAAGGCTTTTACAAACATTGGTGTGTGCAATTTCAAAGGAACTTCCAGAGGTCTAAAAATTTTCCCCAACCTTAGTTGTAGAAGTTTCCATAAAATTCTCGAGAATTCATTGTAGTTTTAAGTTATAACACTTGCTTTGCACTCCAGTCTGCACATATAACATCTATCACCATCATCCATTTAAGATTTTCATAGCTCTTTTTTATAAAAGAATTAAAAACATTCTGTTCCTTACTCTCACAGGGGCTATGTTTTCCATAATTATTTGATGTAAGTGAAATATAATTGCAATAGAAAGTGCCAGGAGTTCACCATAATGCCAGTTCTATTCCCTCCAAAGCCACACGGTCTTTTGGATCTACTATTTTCTTGCCTTGGGCGGTTAAGGGTTTCAGATGTTCAGTAATTTCTCTCTTTTTCAGAGGGTTAAAATTACCTTCTTAACCAATGTAGCTATCCTTCTTTACAACACAGAAACGAGCCATTTATCATCTGAAGACAACTATACTTCTATATTATCAATATTAAAAGTTTAGTTCTTATTCCTACATAATCAAAGTAATGGCCAACGATGCCATTAACATTGTTAGGGGGTGATACATTGGTAAATTTGAAAGTTTAGGGGAGTTTTGTGAGACACCCCTAAGTTTGCCAATGTTTTTACTCGCTTCTAGAGTACTCTTTGTTACTTCCCATTTAGAAAGGAAAGGTCGACCCTTGTTACGTAATTTAGAGTCCTGAACTATTCTTGAGGATGCTAAAAGTCATTTTGCATAGCAAATCTTCAATACTACCGCATTACAAGAAATTTATACTTTTCATTAGTACGATTGAAATTATTATTAGATGCACATGTGTAACCTGTACAGATTTTAATAAAGTAAAATGACCTAAATCCACTTGTATGTATATATTGTTATACATTGATTATGAACCCAGTCAATTTTTCCAATCTACCATGTTAATTTATGGCACATATTTCTAGTGTTTAATAGTTGAGTGAGCTTTACTGGTACCAGCTAAGTAGTTTTTCTATACCTGCTAATTGGTGTTCCAGATTCATGTGATTGTTCTTTCTAGCTCTAGTTGCTTTAGTTGGATTAGTACCAGTCTACAGAGTTGACATTAGGATTAGGATGTCACACGGTGATAAACCTTTTCTGGAGATTTTAGATTTTGAAGACTTGAAGTACATCTCATGTTCATCCCGTTCGATGAAAAGAAGATCGTTTTATGAAAATTGATTTAAAAACTTTTCTAGGTACATGTTTGCTAGTGAAAACTTAACAGATTGTCAGGCTTCTGTTCAGGAGATGCTTGATATTCTGGTAATTGCTAGTCAGTAACTGGTTAAACGCCTTCCTTCTTTCAATCCTATGTTTCATATGACTGGAATAGTTTCTTATGTTTAGAACTTTAGTAATCTTATAGCTTAGGCTGTAGTAATGTTATGAATCAGGATGTTGCTTTACTCAAGTGTATGATTATATAGATTGTTTGATTTCTTTTGATGCAATATTTCTGTATGTAAGTTCACTAGGAATGACTTCTGTATGTAGTATATATGTATGTGTGTGTAGCAATGCTAGTTAAAATATATTATGAGCAATTTACAGGCAGTCAATAACTTTGGAAAATTTCTTGTTTATGACTTATAAAGTTTCATTTAATTTTAAAAAGTTTTATTTAATTTTAATTGCTAACCTCACACATCTGATTCTTGCTTCTCCCTTCTCTTTTGCATATGCTGTGTGGGCCAGTGCTTCCTCAGGAAAAAAGTAAGTTCTAAACCTTCTCAATGCTTGTATATTTCTTGTTTAGTAGCTGTTAGTCCATAACGATAAATTGTGAGCTGCTTTATCTTTGTTTTTTTTGATGAATGGACGGGTTGGCTGTTTCTTTGACATGTCTTCTTTAGGAAAGATTCGCCTTCTTGCCTTAATTTTTAATTAATTTTTATGGTTATAACAGATAATTTAAGCACTTGGCGTTTCCATAAAATTTGCAATGTACATGAGCTCCAATTACTATGTGTATTTCATAGTAGATTACCTAGTTTCCAGCAAAAGGTTTTCTCTTTTTGTTGATTACCTTTTTGTCCAGCTAGAGTATTAAAACAGGAAAATGACACAAAATGAGGTCAGTCTGAGAGAAGTATAGGTTGGATTGGCTCAAAAATCATTTTCAGAGTTGCATATAATCAATATATGATTGTGTTCTGACTGTCATGTTTGTTACCACTGTGCTTGGTTTGTTACCAGAGTGAACATGTCAATCTTTTCAATCAGCTTGACTTGGTCTGGTCATTCACAATTCTTCTTTTAGAAACCTGAAGTTGAATGGGTGCCTTGTGCAAGTCTATCTTCAGTTTCTGTTTAAGAAACATGACTGACCTGTTTGCCCAAATTGAACTGGGATAATAGGGTAAGGTGGACTATATGAATCTTACCCTATTAATCATAGGATCAGATCAGTATCAGGTATACTTTTGGACGAAAAGTGGAGTACACTTCTTCAGTGAGATAGTAATGAAACTGAAGCAGAGTGATCCACCGTTGAATGACTGATAGATCATCACACGAAGTTAGTCACTATGATTGGGCAGCTGACAAGATTCATATCCAAAATAGCAGGGATGCAAGGCCACAAAAACCATTGAGTAAAAAAAAAAAAAATAGTACGAATGACCAAGAAAAAAAAGACAGCGGGTCTGTGCTCCTAGTAAACCCATTGCTTGTTTTCTATGGTCACCAGGTCCCATAGCTTCCAACCTGAAAATAGGGCTGAAGGTGCCTGCCCCTGTTACATGGAGCTACAAAACAGTTACCTGGAGATCTGGTGCCCTCTTGCTCTGGTTTGATAACACCTACCTGTTATGAGAAACCACTGCTGCCTGACAAAAAATTAGGTTATAGTTAATAACTTAACCTTTTCATAGTATAGATTAACTATAACCTTTTCATAGTATAGATTGTTGTTATAATCCCTGTGCATCTGCTTCTAAGTGTTTACACTTTAACAGACTCTATGTTGAAGTGTATTTACTTATGACATATATTTTAAAATAATCAGGCCAACTCAAATCAAATTGGTTGATAAGCTGAACCTGAAACCCCCTTGTTTAATGCATCGGTAAAGTTGGTAAAACTGTTAATATCCTAGAATTCATTTACACTGATCTGGGCCTCCAAGCTTCTCAAGGGATGTTGGTTAGCTGGCTACCCTTAGTCTGAAGCCGTTTGACAAAGATCTACAGAGTGGATCTTTAGAATTGTTTTTTGAGGTCATTTAAAATGAAATGTTTAGTTTCTTGTAATAGAAAAGGCGGCACAGACAGGGAGAAATCATGGCTCTCTTTAGTTTTTTGAACTTTAATTAGGAAAAATTACATTTTTTGTTATCAAATCTGAGGAGGATTAAACACTTGTAAAGACATGTCTATTAACCAATAATCTAAAATCTTGAAAATCATGGAAAAGTGATTCTTGAATATAGTTTTAATCAAGCACAAGTTGGTTTTTGTTCTTTATCACCTGGATTTATGTTTTTTTTTTAAATTTGGCTTGCACTTTCACTATGTTGATGTTGCTGTGTCAAATCTTAAGCTAGTTGCTTCATGTGGCTCTATGGCAAGTGCCTGTCTTAAACAAATGCTAATACTTATTTTTGCACACAGGTACTCCCTTCTGGAAACTTGTATTGAAGCAGTTCGATGATTTGCTTGTTAAAATATTGATTGCAGCTGCAGTGGTTTCATTTATTTTAGCTTTGATTAATGGAGAAACGGGCCTAGCAGCATTTCTGGAACCTTCTGTATGAAACACTCGTGGTTATTTTTCTTATTTTGCAATGATTCTTTGTGTTGAGTTTTTCTGTGCGTTTGAATTTAGTGCATAATTCTTGCACTATTTACGGCTGTACTCAGTGTTAAAGGATATTTTTCCAGTGTTTCCTTCTGGAATTCATATTTTGTTGTGGACTCAATCGACACCTGTATTTCGGGAATTATCTGAAACTTTTTTAGCCTATAAATAGTTATATATCATCCTCAGTTACCAGTCTTCTCCATTCAGCTCTCTCTTTCTCTCTCTCATTCTTCTCTCCTTTTTATACTCCTCATTTTCTTGTTTGGTCAGGTAATTTTAATGATATTGGGAGCAAATGCAGCAGTTGGCGTTATAACTGAAACAAATGCTGAAAAGGCCCTAGAGGTAATAAATTTAATTACCGTAGATACTGGTGGAAGAAACATTTCTTGTCTTATTCACTTTTTTGTCCTATAAGATTTTTATGGTCTTACCTTATCATTCATCTGCACACGTTAGTTCTCCTTTTTCCCCCTTGACACCCTCAAGTATTAAAACAAAGCTTATATCAAACTTTTATTATTGCAAATTAGCAGTTTGAAACTGGCCTATGTAAAGACAGTTCTTAATTTATTTCATCTATATAGCGGTGTCAAATTTATGAGTATTTGAGCTTGTAGGAGGAGCCTAATCTGATGTGTCACCTCTTAGTGATTTGGTCAGCTGCGCTGTTCTAGACTAATAAAAATTATTTACCTTTCAGATTTTCTTTTATCAAACTTCGTTATGATATGGAAGTTATCAACATTGGTAGTTTCAGGACCGTCATGCTTCTGAAGATATTACCATTTTTTGAATTACTGTGGTTCTCCATATAATATTAGGATTAATCATGAATTTATTCGAGGAGATTAGGAATAGGAAATTATTTACATAAATCTGAAGCTTTAAAGGATTTTAGTTATGTGCCTGTGTACAACCTTAAGGTCATCTAAATATTTCCAAGGGCTTGCATGATATGGAAATGTTAGTAAAGTTGTAAAAAGCTTGAGAGGCCTGGATGAATGAAGACGAAAAAAAGGTCCGGGCAAGTTTCATGAACAAAGTAACCTTCCATAACAAAAAGTTGCAGGGAATTCAATGGGGCACCGCTTGTGGATTGGTCAGGGGTTTTATTTATATTTTGGGGTCAAGTACATGCCTTTGATGGTGGAGGTTGTCTCTCAGCAAAATACACCTTCCACTTGTTCATCTTTACAAGAATAATATATCCAAAAACAACATGGATAAAGTAATGTTGTTCTCAATGCAAGTTGATGTAACTTCTATAAGTAGCATGTACCATCTTGATCAAATGTCAGTTTTTTCCTTCTTTTTTCCTCTCTAATGACTGGTATCATGAAATTTTAAATTAAATTAAAAACTTCGTATTTTCTAAAAAAAAAGAAAAAAAGAAAAAAAGGAAAAAAAAGAAAAAGAACTTCGTAAGACGACTTTAATTTTCGAGTTGGACGAGTGTGGATTTCTGCCGCAGTTTTCAGCAAATTTCTCTATGCTTCATTTGAATTCAAATTTCTGCGTGTCCTCGCTCTTGGCTTTCTTCATTCTCTTTTCATCGATATACATACAATTGGCGTCCCCCACCCTCAGAGATATACATACAAGACATTTAAAGAAGACACAACCAGAAAAGTAGACGAGGTCACAGGTAGAAAATGTAAAATAAAGAACCATATCTGGTGTTTGTGGTTGTGAACTTAGTTTTAACTGTACTGGGTTTTTCACTAGATCTTTTTTTATATTAATTGTACATTTGTACTTAAGTTTTCCGTCTCATTTTATAATCCGAAGTATAGATACTTTTCTTTTGGTAAAGTGTCATTGTTTGAATTTTAGCAGCATAAAAACATTATGTAAGGGCCATCTGGAATACTTTTTGAAAGGCTGATGTTCTTCCTCTTTGCTCAATCGTACATTTAACTTCTCCGATTTGGTTATGATTCCTGAAACTGAGATCTTCATAAGCAGATCCCTTACAGCATACCTTTGAGAACACAATGAGCTTTGTTTTTAAATTTAAACTTATCTTTCAGAAATCAGAATGCTTCCTCATGCTCTTTTTAAGAGAATGCTATTGGCATATGTTCTTCTACAGCAGCTTATGTGGTTTTCTCTTCCCGAAGCAATATAACATTTTCCTTGATGAAAATTTATTCCTTAATGATTTTAATGCCTTCTATAATATACTTTGATCAGTCTGTCTGTATTCTTTATTAACCTGTTATAATTTGTGTTGTATCCTTTCTTATTGCGATATTCATAGGAATTGCGGGCATATCAAGCTGATATCGCTACTGTTCTTAGAAATGGTAAGGAATAATAATTTGCTTCTTGGTGCTTATTTGTTGTCTTTGTTCATTCTGCATCTTTATGATAACTATTGTTTTGTAGCTTCTTTCATTAAAGTATACTACTTGAAGCGAGCTCTTAATCAAAACTCAAGTTAATCATGTCATATATGCCAGTTTTAGGTTTTCTAATTTTCTTTTCAATACAAAAACATCCAAGTCCTCCATCTCTTCTTTTTTGAATATATCCATGCATCAGGAATACTTCTTTTATTTTGAAAAGTTAATGATAGTTGTGAATTAGAAACCAAGCAGATTAGAATAAGCAACAATTATTCTGCAAGGTGTCTTAAAGCAATATGCTAGCTTTTGGCTTTTATGATAAGAACTTGAATGGTTAAAAAGTCAATTACTTGGTCAAACCTAGCTTAATTAGATGAGCTTATAAGCTAGTTTTTCAAAAGTTGGGGAACCCCAACTTTTTAATGAGATAAAAGCTAGCTTATTTGAGCTGTCACCAAACATGCAGATATGGAAATGCTAGCTAAAGCTACTATGACCAAAAAATAAGCTCCTCTAAACACCCTCTTGGAGAGGCAGTATCCGCTTAAACTAAATCATGGGCAATGTTCCTACTATCACGGTGTACAATGTACGCTTTTAATCTACTGTGTATTGTTCAAATATGACTTTTTCCTTACTCTTACGCAGTCTAGCCATGACCATATATTTATAGCTTGTTGAAAAACATAGCTGTGGTGTATTTACTGGGAAGCAATGTCTTCTGCAGGTTGCTTTTCAATACTACCTGCTACGGAGCTTGTACCTGGAGATATTGTTGAAGTAGGTGGTAAGTTTACCAATATACATTGATAGAGGTACTTTTCAGAAGCATTCTTTTTCATGGTTTGATTAACTTTCTGTCTTTTGTTTTTACTAGTGGGGTGCAAAGTTCCGGCGGATATGAGAATGATTGAAATGCTTAGTAATCAACTACGAGTTGACCAGGCAATTCTTACGGGTATATGACTCTTTGTATATTGATTTTAATATTCTTGTCGAAACTTTTAGTCATCATTTATCATCTCATTTATGGGAGAACCATGAAAAGGAGAAGCAGTATATGTTGATTCTCAGTAGTATGAAAACATTATTCTGATGTATCAATTGATTTCCTGATTGGAGACTTCTCAGAAATTTAATCATATTAAATACCGATTAATCGTTGTTTTTATTTTCTTTTTTTCTGAGCAATTAGATTATCAGTGTGGTAGATAGTCAAGCAGTATCTGCATAATAAACTGCATTGACTACTTTTACCACCTGACGCTTGTGTCAAAAGCTTAGAATTTCTGTTATATTGGTATCTTGTAAGTAGTCCTACATTATTCCTACCCATGTCCCAATATCAGCTGTATAATGTTGAAAATTTCTGGATCTTTCCCAAACATTGAACTTTGAACCCTTGACAAATTACTCCCAAACCCCATAATTCTGATTATGGGACAATTCATTCAGACAAAGAATCTACATTTAGTTTTTGTTCATCTGCATGGCACGACTTCTCTAGATTATCTTCCACTAGAAGTAAGCCCTTCTAATCAGACGAGACTTATTCTAAGATCTCAGATTTTTTTGCATTGGAGGTTAAAGGTTTTAAAGTTTGTTGAATGCTGGAAAGACTGTACTTTGTAGTTAGTGTTTCAGTATGTGATTTGTTGTGCTGGTATGCAAATCCTGGTGCATACATATGCAAATACATATGCGATCTTGGTCATTTTTGGTGAAAGTAATAAAAAACAACAAAATATATAAAAAATAGGTAATTTCACCAATAAAAAAAAAGAATGCGAACAAATTAATAAAAATAAAAATACGGAATAAATTCAGAACTATGTAGAGATAAGTATTTAGAAATGCATGCAAATGAAATTGGAAATGACTATAAGAGATCACTTGAAGTAAGAAACAATATTTGGTGCATACACAATGAAAACCAAAGTTGCATGAAAATGGCTATGAGTATGGGTACGGGTACGGATACAGGTATGAGCACGACAAAATTGTAAAATGTAGGCTACGGGGGATACGACTACATGTATATTGAGATTAATAATTTATATGTAGTCATTATTGCTTTTCAATTCACGTGTTATTAGAATTAAAGTTCCTATCATGTTTTTAAGTTTCTTTTACTGTGTTGATTATTATTATAAATTGGAAGCTACTCGTATTTGAACTAGACACCCAAGCGACCCTTTAAAATCATAGTTTTGAACCTGAGTATAAGCTGAAACAAACCCGAACTATGTCTATTGAGTTTCAAGAAATGGGTGTGAGCATTGTGAAGTGTAGGATATACATCAAAGAAGTGTTTGACAAGAGTTCTGAACTAAACCATATGTTATAGAATCGAGCACATGTTTGAATAAATGTATGCATATATCCAAGGAGTGTCCATGAAGTTTGGGTACCGATATATCTCGGCTACGTATCTGGTACGGGTACGGCTTCATGATAGAAGCGCTCGGGGAACACAGATGATAACTAAGAAAATAAAAAGAGCTTAACTACTAAGTTACCAAGTAAATTACTGCAACAAAAGCATCTAAATAAGTAAACTTATTAAGCAAATAAAAATACATATGGCTCAAGCGTTAAGATAGAATGCCTTTTAGAGCATCAAGTATTGTTTTATGTTAAAGATAGGGATAAGAGAGTTTAGATAGTTTATTGGCTCTCCTCTACTATCTTATTTATAATAGTTTCATAGATATAAAAGTTATCCCACAACAAATGTGAGACTAAACTAATAATTTATATTGAAGTAAACCTCTCATAACACTCCCCATCAAGGTGGAGCATACATATCATACAAGTCTAACTTGCCACAATTGAATTCACTCGTGTTTTCCCGAGAGAATTTGTAATGAGATTTGCCAATTGATGAGTCGAGGAAACATGTTTTGCTTGAATAACCACACCCGTAATATTCTTACGTACTATGTGACAATCCACTGCAATATGTTTTTTCTGCATCTGGAACTCTAGATTCTCAGCAATATGAATAACATTCTTATTATTACCATACAAATTTATAGGACATTTTGGTCTTAAACCAAGCTCAATTAATAAATCTTTAACCCAGACTAGCACACAAGTCATATTTCCATTGCATGATACCCAAACTCAGCAGTAGATCAAGGTACCAGAGTCTCCTTGCTCTTCTAAGGCACAATATTTCCTCACAACAAGACTATTCTGTAAGTAACCTCGTGTCAGCTGGCAATCATGCCTAATTTGCATTTGAGAACCCTACAACTCTAGTATAACCCGAGTTTGAATGTATAATCCCCTTTATTAGAGCCTTCTTCAAATATCTGATTATCCTTTTGACTACATGCTAGTGTGTTTGTCTTAGGTACTGAATAATAATGGCTCATAATGCTTACAACAAAAGCAATCTCTGGTCTAGTCATTGTTAGGTAATTTAGTTTGTTTACTGATCTTCGATATCTCCCATTATCTTCAAAAATCGTCCACGATCCGCTAACAGCTTAGTATTCACATCCATTGGTGAATCTATACGCCTTACGTCCTAGAAACATTCCTGCTTTTAATAACATATTAGTACCATATTGTTCTGGAAAGGTGAATTCCTTTCTTAGCCTTGCTACTTTAATTGCAAAGAAATACTTTAAGGAGCATTTGTTTGAAAACACTTCCACCAAGCGTTTCTCAGATTGTTAATTCCTTACATTTTATCTCTTGTAATCATAATGTCATCCTCATATGCTATTAAAGGTATTGTTTCCCTTCCTTTAGCCTCCAAAACACCAAGTAATCTTTCTGAGTGCGATTTCTGAGTGCGATGAAGTCCAAACTCCTGAACAACAAATACAAATCTTCCAAATAAAAAGCTCACAATGACTGCTTCGAGCTATATAGTTACCTCTTCAGTTTACACATTCTAATGCTCTCCCTTGAGCAGCATAGCTGAGTGGTTTCTCCAGATAATACTCACCATCAAGAGTACAATTTAGATCTAGATGTATTTATGATATCTTGCTGATATAGTGGCCAATGGTATACTGCATCTAGAGATATCAAAATTTGCATAGATGCCATCTTGGTCACATATGGAAATGTCTCCTGATAGTCAAGCTCATACACTTGTGAGTACCCAATTGCAACCTATATTGCCTTTAAACGTGCTAGCGAATTGTCATGGTTTATCTTAACAATATAAACCCATTGACAGCTAACACCTTTCTTTCCTATAGTGGGATAGAAAGGAGACTAGATCTAGTTTGATATTTTGCTCTAAAGCCATCATTTCTCTTGCATTGCCTCTGCCTATCGTGAGATAGAAAGAGCTTCAGATGCTGACTGGGAACATGGTGTTAGTCTATAGAAGAGAGAAAAGCTTGATATGAGGATGACAAATGAGAGAAAATTAGAAGAGTGAGAAGTAAAGAGGATGAGAAGTACAATTATGTTTACCCCCTCGAGGAGTAATGAGAATACTACCATTAGGTACATTAGTAGTACTAGAGTGCCGTGTAATAGCCGTATTCTTACTAGACTGATATTTAAGAGTTGGAAACGAAGCTGATGTTGGCTCATAAGCAGGAGATCCAACATGTATAAATTTGAACATGATCTTTATATCTTGGCGGTTTTGTATCCAATGCTATATCAGAAGTTAATAGTGTATGTCATTTAGCACTTCATGAACATGAAAATAACCAAAATCATCCTCGATGTCTCATGGAGACTCTGACAAAGCCCGACCAACTCAATGGAAGTAAATCAACAAAGAAGATATATTGATCTAAAGGACATTAACATTTATATCCTTTATAATATGAGAATAACCAAGGAATATATCTCTCAAGGTTCAAGAGTCAAGTTTAGTTTTGTGAGGGGTTATATTGTGGATAAAGCACATAGGCCTAAAAAACTTTTGGAGATAAGGAAAATAACTCATGATTCAGATGTAAATCAGAAGATGGAATTTTGTTATCTAGAATAATGTAATGTATGTGATTGATCAAATGTGTGAGAATTGCAGAACTCCAAAAATTTTAGGAACTTGCCTATTGATTAGAAGAGTTCGGGCAATTTCAAGTAAATAATAGTTGTTATGCTCAACAACTTCATTTTGTTGTGTGATATACTCACAATAAGATTGATGCAAATATACTTTTATTCCATAAATTCCTTATTACATGGATCAAATATACTCTTTAGCATTAGTAGATCTCAAAATTGATATAAATGTATTAAAATGATTATTAATTCATGAACAAAAAATTTTGAAGTGTGAAAATGCTTTGGATCTTGATTTCACAAATAAATCCAAGTTATATGAGAAAAATCATCTACGTAACCCACAAAATATTTTTAACCAAGTTTCGAACTAATAGGACAATAACCACATACATCAGATTCAACTAACGTAAACAGGCTTTTAGTCTTCTTATTGACCCTACTAGGATAGGACACATGATTGTATTTTCCTAATTGACACGACTCACAATATTAAGAGTAAACATGACTTAGAGAAGATACTAAAAGTTTTAAAACATGTAAGGGGTTGACCAAATGACAGTGATAGTAAATGTTTATGCAGAGTTGGTACATGCTATCTAGATGGATGCTCCTTAATTGTAGGATTTACTCACCAAATGTTCTCTTTGAACTTTGTATTTGTTTAGCTCTATTGCCTAAGCTATCGATTTTACAAGCCACCTAAGCTATGGATTTTACAAGCCACTCAAATACACATTTGTTTGCAAAACAAGGTGAGAGCATAATGAAATCCACATATTGTGTGTTCATCCCAATAATAACATAATGAAACATTAGATAAATAATAATCAAATAATTTAGCACAAAGAAATTCTATAGAGATTGAGAAACTGGGTACACCTTGAAAGATGAAGTCTATATCAAGACAAAAAAATAGTAGGAAAAAAATTAGGTGATCATAAAAGCATTTTTTAAAAAGAGGTTCTTCCTGATGGAAATTAAGCAGACGTTGAAAGATGATAAGTTTGAAGTCTATATCAAGATAAAAAAAATGGCAGAGAAAAGATTAGATCTTGATAACAAAAACACTTACGCAGAGAAGTCTCTTTCTGGTGAAAGTTGAAGTATCGAAAGAATTTGGGAGATGAACGCTTAAGGGTCTCTTGAGAAAGTTGAGTGTACAGAAAGTCGCTAAAATGTTTTGCAAGAGTCTTTTAAGAAATTTTAATTGGCTAAGTTATTTCTATTGTGAAATAACCAAGTGTTTATTATAACAGCCAAAATTAGTATCTAAATAGTCAAATTGTACCTCAAAAAGTCAAAATATATTCATGCAAGCACTGCTTAATGTATCTTCTTTTTTTTAGGAGGGGATGTTTGCCACTAGGACCCTTGCCTTTAGGCCTATAGTCGTTTAGCTCCATTGAGGGTGGTGGTGATCAGCTGGCTGCTAATTGTTCGTGATGCCATCGGTCGGTTGGGTCTAAATAATGTCCATTTAGTTTGAGACCTTGAGCCTTTTTTTACTCTGATTAGGTCTAAACAGGATGCATATGATAGAATATGATCATTTGAACTCGTGTGTAAGTTAAATAGAATCTGGATGACGTAAAAACAATAATGATGATGTTTTTCCTCATTTAGATAATTAGTTATGGTTGAATAAAATCCTATAGGCAAATTTGATCCTTATTATTTTACTTTGGCCTAAGATTTAATATCTTGGTTGATCTATCGACATCTCTTAAACTTCTTTCGGTACTCTTCTATATGATCTGTAATTTGATAGCTTTTTTATGGAGTCATTGCAAACTTTTTTCACCCTCATTTAAATAAATGCTATAGGTGCGATTTTATCCTCCCTCCAACAATGTTTCACTATTATCCTTATGTAAAATAACCAATTAAATTTAATATTACCTCCATGGAATGTTTGTCTATTAACAGTTGTTATTTATTGTTGCTCAGGTTTCATTATGAGATGCGTCTTTTTTTTATAATAGTTATTTTTGTCCTCTATTTATCACCAACAAAGTGCATGTTCACGTCTCTTTTAACTCATTGCTGAATGATTTGGAATACGATAAATTTATAGTTAAATTAAGGCTTTAGTCCCTACTTGCCCTTATACTATTAAATTTGTCCTTTCTTATTCTGTGAATTTTTTTTAGTGCCTACATGCCCCCTTGAACTAATAAAGTCTATTGCTTACCCTCGAACTATATTTGGTCTCACTTTGCCCCTTAGACTATTAAATCCGTGTCTGTTTATCCCTTGAAATGCGAAATTCAATATATATTTATCACCTTTGATTAATTACTCTTTGGGTCTTCTCATTTAACTTATGAGAAGAAAGTGGAGTTTAGGGGCAATATGGGGACCAAAAGTAGTTCAGGGGTAAGCAAAGAACAAATTAAATAGTTTAAGAGGCATATGTAAGCACTAAAAATAATTCAAGGGGTTAAGAAGGGATAAACTAATAGTTTAGGGGGTAAGTAGGGACTAGAGCCTTAAATTAATGTCTTTTATTCAAACTTTTTCTCTTATATATATTTTAACTTGAGTCGAGTCTTGTCAAATCCTTTTGCCTAGAACATTATTTATGAGCTAATTTTATTTTTCTCAACACTAGGTGAAAGCTGCTCTGTTGCAAAAGATATTGAATCAACTTTAGCAGCTAATGCTGTTTATCAGGATAAAACAAACATTCTCTTCTCGGTAAGTTTTTAGTGCGCTATTTATTGACTCGGTTCTTTTGTAAATTTTGTTCTTCTTTTAATTATTTCCAATAAGAATATATTCTTTTTTTGTGTCGCCTTAGTTGTGAGTGGACATGGGGGAACTCATTTATCTCTCTAACTTAATTAGTTATTGTAGGTGGAGGATATTTTTTTCATTTAAAAATCGTGAACGCCAATTGTGGCGACAAAAGCATAAGGATTAATCTTCAAAAAGTTATATATGTTGCACATTTAGATTATGAAGTGATGTAATGTAAGAGTAGGATGACAACATGGATTGATATCTAATGCTTCTAATGCTTCACAAATACCTGTGAAGTATGTTGTGAAAAAATATTGATTTCACTGGTGGAAAATGATGATATGATCAAATTTGAATAATCATACTAAGTCCATTTTAAATTAATTATAGGGAACCAAATAAAAAAAAATTATCTTAGATTTCCATTTTCTTTTAACATTTGGGAGTTTTGGTTGTTCTATATGTTGAGTGAAGGCTACACCATTGGCGTATGTTATACTCACTTGTGAATTTGATTTTGGATCCACTTTAGCTCTTTACATTCTTTTTCCTTAAATGTTCATTTGGTTCTCTATGACTGGTCATATCATTTCCTCTCTTGGTTCAAACTTTCATCCTTTAGGAAAACTTGGATGTTTGTTCCTGAATTGTGTGAGGTTAATTGCTTATCTATGTTTTGAAAAAAATGGTTTATCTTATTTAGGTTTATTCATAGAGTGTTTGTTTATGATAAAAAATGGTTGGTGAAAACATGAAGTTTGGTATCTTTTTAGAGCTTTGTTGACTTTAAGTTAACTTCGTTAGTATGAATGTTGCAATATTTTAGTGGGAAGTCATTTGAATAACGCAATCTTGAAAATTGATTGATGATGACGATCAAATATAATATGTTATTGAGCTAGATACTACTATACTATGGCTTGAACTTTCAACCTTTCAGAAATTTTTATACTGGAACATTTTTTTTTCAACAATAGCAATCCCAAATTTTAAGGGTTGATTACATGAATCCTACTCTTATACTCAGTTTTGTTGAGGGTTGTGTCCTCCACTAAGTTAATTCATCTCATATCACTCTTATTAGTTTCTAACCAAGTTCTAGTAGTCCTACCTCTTATTTTTCTTTCTCCATTAATTGTAATGCTATCCCGCATCTAATTGGTCATTTAATGGCCTCTGTTGCACATGACCAACCATCTCAAATGATTTTCTCTGGTTTTTTCCTTTATAGGAGCAAACTCTAATTATCTACAAATGCACTCTATATACTCGTGAATTGTTTTCAACAACATGATCATGTTTTGATAGTGCAAATTGCACTCTTTAACCAAAGTGTATCCGGGCTTATAATCTTGCCATTTTTCTATGAAACACCCTCAATCATGTTTAATCCCATGGGAAAAAGAAAAAAAGAACAATTTGATATTCTCATGGTGCTTGAACTCTATGTTTATATATGCTTCTGCATGTTTCTTACTTAAAAATAAATCATAAACATGCCCTTTTCTTTAGTTTCTTTCTTGAAGACAACCTTTGAGCATATGTTACTTAGGAAATTATATGAGGGAAACATCACAATAGTAATCTTTTTAGGTGGTTATATATGGCTATACGGAAGACTATTGTTTGCATCGAGTGTTCCCAAGGCAATCTAGTTTTCTTTAGTTCTTACAATTTAAGATAAAAGAAATTTTTAAGTCATATATAGGATATAGGAACGATTGAAACAGAATTGAATTCCCCGGTGAATGGACTCCGGGAAGATAGAACAAAAATAATTAAGTAAAAATTAAGTTAATAGTAGGAATGAATGAACATCTTTAAAAAAAAGATTTATTCTTTCCTATGAAGGAATCTATAAAAATTATTCAACAGGCTCTAGAAAGGATTCCTGGAGGACCTTATGAAAATTTAGAAGTCCGACGCTTTAATAGAATAAAAAATTCCAAACGGACTAATTTTGACCATAGATTTATTACTAAAAACTTTCACCCAATTTTGAATTGTCAAAACAAAAACTTTATGTGAGAGTAAATGTCCCAAAAGGAGAATTAGGAATTTATTTGATAGGAGATAGTAGTGTTTTCACCTGGAGATGGAAAATTCATCCACAAGGTTTTATCAATTTAAAAATTCTACCTCAACTAGTTAAAAGAATAAAATTGGCTAAAATCATGACGATACTAGGTAGTATAGATATCATTATGGGAGAAGTTGATTGTTGATATGATAATTGATACGACAGAAATAGAAGTACAAGTTATCAATTTTTTTTTCTAAAGTAGAATCCTTAAAAGAAGTCTATGGCCTCATATGGATCTTTGTTTCTGTTTTAACCCTTCTATTAGTAATCATAATAGGGGTACTCGTAATTATGTGGTTAGAAAGAGAAATATCCGTAGCAATACAACAACGTATCGGGCCTGAATATGCTGGCTCTAATGGTGTCAATAAGAAAGCGCCAAACATTTCTAGATATATTATTCAAAAGAATCAACACAATACACCCAGTCGATTAGATCTGAGAAAATTTTGTCGCTGTTGTCACAAGCATACGATTCATTGGGAAATAAAGAAATAGATCATCCGAATCTTACAACAACCAATAAGGTATTCCATGCTTTCTGTGTCGGTATAAGAATACAACTATTCCATCTATAATGATATCAAATTGAAAGGGGAAATGTTAAAAGACTGACCCACAAGTTTGTCCAATGTTCAAAATAACGATACTGCGTAACGCTCTACCTTCTGATAATGGTTAAAGAAATGCAAAGAAAAGTAATGCATGTTTATTAATAATTAATTATTTAAATATTTTATAAATGCAAATTATTCATGATGACTTTATTAATTAAAATCATCAAAATTTTCAAACATGGGGGAGGACCGAAAGAGTTAAAAGGAGTTACGATTTAGAAACCTTTTGTCTTCGTCAAGAAGAGTTAGGTTATAAAAGTTGGAGCGGTTCTAGAGGTGAGATAAGGTTAATCTTTCTTCATCGACGAGAGGTGATGATGGATCAGAGGAAGAACCAGAGAGGAGTCTTGTCATCAATGAAGATAGAGGAAGATAGAAGCGTTCTTGTCGGTGAGAGGCTGTCTTCGTTAGAGGCGTGAGAGGGAGAGAGAAGAGATCGAGTGGTTTTCTTCTTCGTCGAAGGCGTGAGAGGAGGCGGAGGAGATAGGGCTGTGGATTTGCTATTTTTTTTCACATGAATGAAATTGGGGTCGTGCGATTTGATTGTGAACTTATTTGACTTAAGGTGATTTGGACTGTGGAGATATTGCCACTTGTCCAATTTTGATTACTAATTTTGCGCAATTTAACAAACGTTGAATAACACTTAATGTAATGTAGATAAAACACATTTATAGTGTTATTTTCTGCATTAAATGCGACATACGTTTTCTGCCTAAGTTTTATTATACTTTGGCTCAATTAGGTGTCAAAATGGGTTATAACAAGTTTTAAAATGGTTTTTTTCTATACCGGTTTGTGCATCCTTCTTAGGTGAGTTGTATAAGAGATGACCGATTTGATGTTTCTTTATCGTTCTCATATTGGGTCGAACTCATTAGTTATGATTATTATGCATAGTCGGATTGTTGTAAGCTAATACTCTGCATTTTCTCTTTAAATTTATTAAGTTATAGGCGACCACCTTAGGTTAGTTAACTTCTTTGTTCTATTATTTCCCAAACTTCTCTATTAGATGTTTCGTTATATGACATGATGGTTATGATTTTAATGTTCCTATCTAGGGTACCGTCGTGGTGGCTGGCAGGGCTAGAGCTGTTGTTGTTGGCGTAGGATCTAATACTGCAATGGGTAGCATACGCGATGCCATGCTAAGAACAGAAGATGTAAGTTGCTGATGTTTCCATCTTGTGTGTAGTTTTAAGTCTTCGTATATTTGTATGTCCTTTTTCTCTAATGATTTATAGTTTTGAAGACCTCTTTCTCTGTTTGCTAGTTTTATCAAGGGTACATAACAGCAGATGATGTGACAAACCATATTTATCCTATTGTTTCTATTTTTATATAAATGATAATTTTACAGGAAGTCACGCCTTTAAAGAAGAAGCTTGATGAATTTGGGACATTTCTGGCTAAGGTACTGACACATCTATTTACCATTGTTCATTGTTAATTCTGCGCAACTCTATAATGAATCTTACATGCTGAAGGCAAAATTGTTAAAATATATAGCATATCTTCCTAATGGTAATGTACAAAATAGTATCTCTGTGCAACGAAATAATTCAAAACTTGGAAGCATGTTTCTTTTTAGTTAGAGAAAACAAAACGTGTTATTTGTAGAGTTAGGTAATGTTCTTTTGTGAACCCTAAGATAATTTGTATAGTCTGATGTTTTCTTTTTCTTTTCTTTTAACTTCTTTATTTGGGAAATAAAGAACTTGTCTTCATTTTGGTTCTCCCTTTCCATTATCACCTTGATAATCACTATCTAAAGAAATTATTTTATAAAGGAAAACACGAAATAATTTTTTTGTCCAGTGTACACATGCTTCAGCCATTGTGTGCACGTAGATCATAACCTGGCAAAACTAGTATAAGGTTTACAAAGGAGTACACGAAGGTTTATATGCCTTCATGAAGCTTGAATTCCATTGCATACATGTTCTAATTAAATTTCTCTGTCTCCTGTGTTTTTATATGGGATATTCTTCTACATGTGAATACGCACACAAATAAAACTTGTATTCCTGTTCTTTAAAATCGGATATAGATATAATCGGGTGTGTGGGAAAGAAAACATATGCGTAGCCATTATAAAGGAAACAAGTACGTCTCAGAACTATGTAGGTGGTGCAAGAGTGATTTAGATACAAGCTATCCTATCTAAAGCCTTTTTAGTATGTCTGATGCACCCAAAACCTAGGATAACTTCTTGAATCACCCAAATCAGCTTAAGATTACCAGTCTGATATTAAGTTGGTATATCCATCTTATCGAAACAAGTAATTTGGATATATGTGTCCAGCCTTTTGCTCATATCCATTTAATTATCTAGATGCTACCTAACTAGAGAGATATACATATTTATATTGAACCAGATATGGTTGATATCTGTAACTACATTTGATTGGATGTGGATGCAAATATATTTGTGGTTTCTGCTTTGCACTCATATTATAAGCATCCATTTGACGGTCATAAAATAAATTGCATAACACAGAAAAATAGGAACAAATTATTTGTGACATAAAAGCTTTAAATTGCAATGTTTTTTGTATGTACATTTGGCATAATAAACAAGATGGATGGAGTGAATTGTCTATTTGCATGACTCATGATGAAGGTTAATTGGTGGGGACAAAGTTGAAGTTTGTTGAACCATAAAGCTAACAAAAGAAAGTGATTTTATCAGAATATTTTGCAACAAAGATACGTGAAGAGGGCTCTATTGTAAGCTACCAACGAAAGATTAAAGATCTGCATTTTTATGTTAATCTACGCATAAATTAGCTTTTAATAGAGACGAACAATGCAACTTTACAACTTTTTCATATGAAGTTTTTTTTACAAGGAGTGTGTTATTTTAGATGTAAAAGAAAGATATCATTTTGTTCATACAAAATATCAAGTGGTTTCGAAAGTCCTAATTCTTTCGTCAAAGGTTTTTAAATTTCCTATTGCTGAATAATATACTTCTAGCAACAACTTTATTCATATATAAAAACACAATTGCTTGATCTCTCAAGCTAATTTACATGTGTAGAAAAATGAATGTTGCAGATCTTCCATGGTATGCACAATGGAGTCCTCACAAAGTTTATTTTAGGGGCTGTTCTCACATGATACTCTGCATATATCTCGTAAACATATACATACTTCCTTTTTAGTATGTATGTATGTATGTATGTATATATATACACACACATATATGTATACATATTCATATACATATACATATACATATATACATACACATATACATACACATAAACATATACACACACACGTGTACACACACACATGTGTACACACACACGCACTCACTCACGCACGCACCCACACACCCCCACCCACACCCCCCCACCCACACCCACCCACCCACACACACGCACGCACACACGCACCCACGCACGCACGCACGCACACACGCGCGCGCACACACACAGAGGGGAAGAGGAGAGGATAGGGAGGGGGAGAGGAGAGGAAAGGGAGAAGGTGGATGGGCCATTGGTGGAGGGGGAGGAGAGGAGAAAAGAATTTATGGTTTGGAGAAACCCTAAAGGCGGAGGAGGTGAATGAAGAAGAGGAGATGGAGAGGAGAGGGAAGATATAAGGTGGGAGAGGACGGGGAGAGGGAGAGGGGAGGCATGGTGTAGGAGAAGAGGAGGGAAGGAAGAAAGTAGAGAGAGAAGAAGGTGCAGCGGGTATTTTTGAAAATTTTTGGGATAAATGGTGGCAAATGTGTGACATTGAGAACAAGTAAACAAACTAAGGTATTTTACATTAAAAAAAGATGGGTAAGTTGCAATTTGGGCAAAAGTTAAGGTGATGTTCATGTAAAAACCCTTAAAAGGTCCAAAAATTAGAAATATAGGATATAAATTAGACGGTAAACTAATAAAATAACTCTAAAAATATAAGTAAAGACAACTAGACTTTAAAGCAGTTTTGCATAGGAACGGGCACAAGTACTGCTGGGGGTATGGTTATGGGAGACAAAAGTAGGGTATGGGGACACAAGTATACATTAAAATGAATAATTTACATGAGTTTAATATTGTTTTTTCATTCACGTGTTGTGCTAATTAAAATTCCTACACCATTTCATGTTTCTTTTATTATGTAGATTATAAACTAGGAAACCATACATTTTAAATTGGATATCAAAACGAGCTTAAAATCATACTTTTAATCGTTTACGGATTGAAATGAACCTGATCATGTGCAACGAGTTTCAGGAAGTGGATGTCAAGTGTAGGATATATGCCAAAAAAGTTTATGACAAATGAATTAAAACATGTACTATATAATTGGGTACACGTCTAAAAATACATTTACACATATGTTCAAGGATTGTCGGTGTTAGATATGGGTATAATACATGTTATGTACAGGTACAACTTCATGATAGATGTATCCACACAACACAGCTTTAGAGTCATATGGAGAAGAACTTAAGAAGTAACATCTGCAATACAAGCTTCTGAATTAAAGAATATTAAACACGTACTCGCTGTCGACAATCACCATATTGTCACCATTGAATTATATGATGGAGGATCTCGTTTTGAGTTTGAACCTGTACAGTATAAGTTGCGTGGTTTGGACCCATCTAGAAAATAATATGTGTCCGTGTAAGAGATATAACCTTCATGGACTGATGGCATTTTCACACTGCTTGTTTAGCTACATAGATCTAGTTCCATGCAGAATTGGGACATGTCTCCATGTTAACTTCGCGACTGCGTAAACCGTATTTTTTAACACTTGACATATCATGTAAAACAATACATATTATTCCTTGTTGGCATTCACAATGCGCATCATCTAAAATATGCATCTTCTTTGTTTTTTGTGTAGAAAGATTATATTCCTAATTAGTTTGACCGTTTTTAAGTTAAAGCTGCAAATCCACCCAGGATGGGTGTCTTATCAAATGGGTGCTGATCACATTCCTTTTTGGTCAAGCTTTTACACTGTATCTGTTGCCTTCTTGATCATAGTTACTAGTTTATGTGGAATGTTAGAAAATTTTCTGCAGTTTCATGAAGTCATTATTAGCTCTGCTATTTTAAGCCAACAGCTGCTGCTTAGGCTGACATGTCATTCATTTTAGGTCATTGCAGGGATTTGTGTCCTTGTATGGGTTGTAAATATTGGCCATTTCCAGGATCCTTCTCATGGTGGATTCATAAGAGGTGCTATTCATTACTTCAAGGTATTTCTAATGTCTAATCTTACTATGTAATTCTTATGCATTCATCTTTCCATGTTTCATCCAGTTTAGCAATCTTTTACCCTTACTACATATATACATATATACACTCTTCTGGGTCAAGATTAACTAACATCAAGTGGCAAGGGGTGCTTCTCATTGTTAGTTTTCCCCTTAAATTGCACCAAGATTAACTGAAGCGGATCTAGGAAGGTCTGTTCAGGTCATACTTGATTACTATTTTGACTTGAGACTTTCTTCACAACCCTGGCATGCATGGCTGAAACTACGAAGACATCTTAAACATGACAATATTAGATAAATTTATCCTGAGGCCAAAGATTCAAAGCTAATAAGCATGTCGTTTGTTTATTATATTTCTTGTAAAATCTGATAACTCATGGTAAGATCTCTTTGTGTGTTTGATTTCTACGCATGATGAATAGCCTTAAAGAATGTCAACATTCATAAAGGTTATCAATTTGATAAAACACCTCAAAGGAACTGTACTAAAGATTTTAGCATCTTATTTCCATTATTTATGACTAGCTAGAAGGTTCCAGATTTTTATTGATTGATACACAAATTCTTCTTTGGATATTGACTGATTTATAGCTTAATGTTTTCTTATTAAGCAATTAAGAAGAGTGCACAGGAAGTAAAATCCTGAGCGTGAAGATAAGTGTATAGCTGAACCTGTGTTACACTAATACTTCATAGAGGAGAATGCCCATGCACTCTATATTTTCAATGTAACTAACACTATTTTAAAAAGCCTCCGCCTAGGCGGAACCTTGGCCTCCTAACTAGCGCTTAGCGCCTAGGTGGTGCCTAGGCTGCCCACCTAGGTTTTGGGAGTGTTTAGGGGTGCATTGTCTGCTTACGTAGACTGCATCCTTTAGGTCTTGATTGTGATTTTCTGTGTTGCAGACTCCACGTCCTCCAACCTTCTTCAAACTCCTTTAACCTCCAAATATGAGCATCTCCACTATCTCCTCCGACCTTCAGCAAAACTTTCTCGACCACAACTTAAATGAAGAAAGAAATCCGCCTAGTTTTACCTAAGCTTTCTATAACATTAACATTTACTATCAATTATTATGATTAAAAAATAAAAAAAGAAAATTTCCTAGGCTCTAGGTGACGGGTCTAACGCTTAAGCCTCCTAGTGCTTTCTATAACATTGTTAGTTATTATTTTGGCTATTTAGTATTTAAGTATGCATGATTTATTGTGGATCTAGGATTGCTGTCTATTTCTTTTTTACAAATTTAAATGAATTTAATACATATTTTTATCAATTGGTATAATTAAATAATTTTAAAAATAGCCAAATGCCTAGGCGCCGCCTAGGCGTTGGCTCAAACGCCTAGTCCACGTAGTGCCTTTTGTAACATTGGTAACTGAATATCTTGATACTTGAATACTTAGCGGATATTACCCCAAAAATTATAACCTATTCTGGATGTATTAAGATAGGTAATAGTCGTATGGCGTGAATGATTGTGCTTTCAACTAAACTGAAATTGTAGATGCTTTTATACAATTCATCCAATTTTTTTAATTTTTTGAATAAGAGATGGAAAAAGTAAAAAACTGTGCAGACTAGCATTTATTTTTAAGACTTAGAATTGAATCATGTTATCTGGATTAAGTGTTTCAGTCATCTGGTTTGGTGATGCATGTCCATGTGCTTGTATCATTTCATATTCATACGATCTTCTGTTTAAATTTCTGCACCCTTCTAATGGTCTAGGGCTAAATGGAGGTTGTAGAAATTTGTTGTGGTGTTTGCGATTACGAGCAAGCGATTGACCTTGTAAAATGACTCTTCTCTTCTTGTTGTCTGTGGAATATTTTTGCGATAACCTGTGGCGAAATTTAAATCATATGGTTATTGCCCTTAGGGGAAAAAAGGGAGATGATTTTTCAAAATGGAACTATAAGCACGTTACGCAGGATTTTACTTAAGCTGAATCTTCCCCTTCTTGTTTACATGGTGCTTTTCTTTAACATGCTTTGCGACAATGCTCAAGACATTGGATTAGTTGATGTTAAAGAAAGATATGGGGATTACACTTCACAACTCTTAATGTTTAGACAAGAAACCAATCAAGTAGAACATACTCAACTCTATAATTAATTCCCGTAGCTTAGGTGAATTATTTGCATAGTCACGCTGCATACCCTTCTATGCTTTGTCATTTAAGTATTGTCTCTGAATTGGTTTTTTTTGTTTACTCCAATTGTACTACATTGGTTTTCTTTTAAGTTCCTTAGAATGATCTGCCTGGCACACAGATTGCAGTGGCTCTTGCGGTTGCAGCAATACCTGAAGGACTTCCTGCTGTTGTGACAACGTGAGTACTCATTGTAGTTGTCAATCATAATCTTAATTCTATCACATTATTTCTTTGGTAAATTTGATCTAATTAGTGCATTATTATTAGTTTGATAAATGGGTCATGCTTTTATTATTATTTTTTAATAAATGTAGTTGTGTTCTGTATTTATTTGATTTTTTGTGTTTAGTTCTATAGCAAGTTCTCAATCTTGCTTCAGCACTTTAATTCATTGGCCATGTTCTCAAAATTTCCAAGCCATCTGCTGTGGAGAGCAATGATTTTATATATGTCGTATATGTACAATAATTATTCTGTGAAACCTGCATAGTAATTGTGTTATATAATGCTTATTGACCAGAGGAGAAAAAATTGGAGCTAGATTAGATGTTTGTTCAAAATACTTGAGGTATTTACATTAATATTATCAAAACAGAAACAATGAGTGGAATTCAGTTTCTGGTGCATTCCGAGTGATATTACAGCATAAATTAATCAGTGGTGCCATCACAAATTGATGCATAATTTCTGAAGCTGGTAAGTGACTGTGCGATGTTAAGTGATGGTAGTTTCTTGATTAATTAAAGGCAAGCTTTTCAAAATGCTCATAAGAAAAGGCCATTTTTGTTTTCAAGCTGTTAAGAACAGTCATGAGGGAAAGATTGAAAGCACTGGCAAGGATCAATCTTAATGGTTGGAAAGGTAAGTTACATCTGAGTGATTGAAGTTAGGAGTTGCTAGGATCAAGGTTATGGTGATGTCTATGGATAAGAAACTAAGATGGTCACGGGTTGTGAGGAGTTGATGACCACCAATGGAAAGGTTATTGCATTTTTTCATAATGTTCATGCAAAGACAAGAAGGAAACCTATATAACATGAAATACAAACACTTAGAAAACTGGAAGAATCTGTTCAATATATGGCATTTGTTTTGATATGAATGATTGATGCAGTGAAATTCATGAGGCTCCATAAATAAATAGCTAATAAAACAACAAAAGGTGGTTGTGACAACTCTTTACTTTAATGTAAATGAACAACTTGTCTATTGACAAATGACATTATAAATAATAAATTGCTACACATTTATGAAAAATTTGGAAAATTGTATGATTTATTTCTTCCATGGAGATTTGGAATGTTGGACTTTAAAATGGATCCAATAACTAATCATATAAGAGTTCAGCTTTACTGCAATACCTCAAGTTTTTGCTGTGGTTATATTGTAGCTTAATGCTTCAAAAATGTTTGTAACTATTTATTTATTTATTTTTAATTTACATAAACATTGTGATGGAACCTGAAAGGGGATTCCGATCTGAAGTTGAGTTTTCTTGAGTAGCAGGGGCTGTCATCTTTAGTGGAGAATGGCTGGGTGGTTAGTTATCTTTAGGGTTGTATCTGGTAATTAGAGTGCTGTTTGGGGCTGCTAGCAAAGATGAGGGGTGATGTTTTGATTCTGGTGGCTGAGGAAAAAGAAACAGGGAAGGTGGACGGTGTCTGCAGTTGCTGCATGCTAAAGAACATAGGAAGAAAAGAGGTTTGAGTGGCTAGGACATAAATGAGGAGATGGTTATGTGGAGATGAAAAATAAAGATAAATAAATACATATAAGGTTTTGGGCTTCATACCCCTAGATAAATCATTTACACAGTCTAGCATTCTAAAGAAAACAACCAATTCACATGCTTATAAAGATTTCTTAAAACTCATAATCTTCATTAATGAAGGTGTAGTCCTGATGTAGGATGACACATATTTATTGTAGAGAAAGCATCTAATCACTAAATGAAATAAATCAAAATCCTAATCTGATCAAAAGCTAACGAAATTAAAAGTTGCAATCAAATAAAAGTATAAAACCAACGAATTAGAAGGAAATATCAAAACCAAATCCTAAATAAGTCCTTATTGAAGTCCAATATCACGTAGAATAAAATCAAATCCGACCAAAGGACGATAGATCCCAATAAATGCTAATCGCATCAGATCTACGGTCCATGATCGTTCTGCATCACATTGTGTTCATTATATTGTTGAACTACTGTTGAAGACTTAATACCTTGTCTATTTAACTTGTGGATGCGTGTTTAGCTATGTTTTGTTATCATTCACCTAGTTGTCATTCATTGACTTCCAATGCTGTGATCCATATGGTCTTTTTTGGTTTTAAACGTTTCTAACTTACACCACCTTCTTAATATCTACTTTTCTTCAACTAGGTGTTTAGCTCTGGGAACCAAAAGAATGGCACGGCTAAATGCAATTGTTAGGTCATTGCCATCAGTGGAGACATTAGGCTGTACAACAGTAATTTGCAGTGACAAAACAGGCACTCTCACCACTAACATGATGTCTGTATCAAAGGTGAGTGACCACAATCCAGAATTCATGTTTTATAGTATTCTCGATATTGTTTATTTGCTTTATAATTTATTGATAGAACATAGTATTGCATAACATGAGGATAACCATACAAGTGTGCTCAGTCATTAGTTATTAGGGGTTTTTGCCTTTAAACCCAAAGCTTTCCCCCCATTTATTTGTAAACCCACTTACTTTTATTGACACCTATACCCAAAAAACTTTCACTTTTCATCTTTAAGCCCAAAATATCAAATGAATACTATTTTGTATACATTATTTATAAAAAGGAATTAGAAACACCAAAATGCCCTTGTCTTTCTACCCTTGCTTGCCCATACTCCATTCTTCTCCTTTTTGCTCTCCGCTCTCTTATCCCCTTTGTTTGCTCCTCCCTCTACCCTCTCCACCGTCCCCTCCTCCCTCTCCTCTGCCGTCTCATCCCTTTCCCCCGCAGTCTCATCCCTCTCTCTCCCCCTGTGTCCCGTCTCCTCTAATTCCTCTTCTTTTTCTCTGAGACATACATCTTAAGTTGCTATACTTACAGCTTATGTTGTCATGCTTAAAACTTAAGTTGCTATACTTAAAACTTAAGTTGCTATACTTACAGTTTAAGGTGTTATACTTACAGTTTAAGTTGGTGTACTTACATCTTAAGCTGTAATGTTTATTTAATATTTTGTCCTCAAGTATCCGTTCTTTGTACAAGCTTATCAGTTAACATGTTTTTGCTATAAGTCAGCTTGATATATATGCCCTACGGGAGTTCTTTCCCTTCAACTCCCATGCTTTTTGTTGTTTTTTATTATAATTTTCAAATGGTATATGTGTTATCAGGGAGAAAGCCAAAAGATCAGTAGGGGCCAAAATTAGTCTCATGTTAGCACAGGTTAAACTTCTAAGTCGAAGAAATTTCTGGAACTGACATTAATCTGCAACAAATTTAGCAAAGAGTTCACAATGTATATTGTCGATGGGTAACAAAATATTGAAACATCATATTTTTTGGACATTGAACAGATCATAAGCAAGCTTCTGTGGTTGACATTATACAATGTTAGGAAAGTTCTATCCAGATGACGTAGATCTATTAGTTTTATATGTTTCTAGTAGTACATTTGCACCCATCTGTTAACAATGAGTGGAGTACTACTATTATACAACCTACAAATTGCAAAAATGTGTGGATGAAGTGTCAGAATCATCAAAAATTAAAAATATTGTGCTGAATCGATTGGATATTAATAATTGAAAGTCCATGCATTTCTAACTAGTTGGCTTATTTCTAGTTGATTCCTTTATTATTGATTATGTGTGGATGATTAAGTTAGCTTTTATTGAGATATTATTGTTTCTTGTCTGATGAGAAGAAAGGAAGACATTATTATGTTCTCATGGTGGTTGATTTTATAACCCATTTAATGCAAATCAGATCTTTTTTCTTTCTTCTTTCAATATCTTTTAGATCTGTGTTGTTCGGTCTGTGCATCGTGGTCCTATCACCAGTGATTACACTGTTAGTGGAACAACATTTGCGCCGGAAGGATTGATTTTTGATACTGAAGGCATTCAGGTGTGTTGAATTTCTATTTTTAGATAATCAAATAAATTATGTGCTGCATGTTGTTTGGTCACAGGTTGTCATAGTTTTGTCAAATATATTTGCAGGAGAAGTTGTATTACTTGCTGATTTCTGTTTGATGGGGCGAAACATTTTCCTTTTCTGTATGAACTATAGGGGGCTTTGCACAGGACCATACTGAACTTTATAAATAAGATAGTCCTCTTGAACTTCCAAAAGTCAACTACATCCTCTGAAGCATAGGAAAATCTCATAAATGTTGTTAATGGTTAGGGTACTAACTTTGAATTATGACTAATGAAAATTTGTAATCAAAAAGTGGAATGAGGCACATTAATGTGGGAGAACAAGACACGAAACCAGTCACATTGTTTTCGTTGAATTTTAATTTTTTTCCCTATTTATTTGTATACATCAAAAAGTGTGGTATAGCAATAACCCTTTATTACATTGAAAATTAATTTTGAAGTGACAATTTGTGCAGTATTCCCAATGCAACCAGAAGACTTTGATTTCTTTCTAAAAATTGAAGAAATAAAAAAGACCTCTGCATGATAGACTATCGACAGTTTCCTTTGTATATAAGAAGGCAGAGGTATCAAGTGTCATAGTCGACTGTCAATTTGTTAGCAAGAATACAATCCTTAGTTGTTTACTATTACTGTTGTTGTGAAATCATCAAAATGAAGTTTTATAGGGGTATGCTGTTCAAGATCAGATGCTTGGACCAATGGAAGAAAAATTGATAAATGGGATTCTCGAAGCTCCTTGATGTTGTGTCTATTAAACGGATCATATATAAACAAATTATTGTTATGCCAGCAGACACTCCAAAATATACTATAGTAGCTGCATATTTAATGTATAGATTTAGATCATTTTGATGATCTTGCTTTGCAATTTATGCAAGTAGGTCGATTGTTTTAATATTTGGTTCATACATAAAATTACGTTCGCATAGAGAATTAACTTCTCTCATATTTTGAATATTTTGATTACCATTGGTCTAACGATTCTTAAATAATTTTTCTTTCTGGATGAACTTGAGTAGACATCAATCTTTTAATATTTTGATTATAAGTTTTCATAATTTCAAAGAAAAGAGCTTCGAGATTTTATTCTAGTTTGTAGGTAATTCTATTACAATTACAACAACAACTTCATTATTAAAGCCTTTATCCTAAATGTTTGAGGTTAGCAACATGAATCCTATTCTTCGATTCCATTCTATTATGGGACATCTCCTTCGTTAAGTTAAACATAATCATACCATTGTTAATTGCTTCCAACTAAGTTCTTTTAGGCCTGCTTCTAGATCTTCTAGTCCCATTAACTGTACTGCTATCACTTTTCCTAACCGATGCACTAAGTGGTCTCCGTTGTAGATGACCAAACCATCTTAGTCGATTCTCTCTTATTTCATCCTCAATCGAAGTAACCTCTAATTTACTACGGAAACACTCATTTTTTATCCTATTTTTAGTGTATACCCACAAGACCATTGCAACATCTTCATTTATGCTATACTTATTTTTTACACATATTATTTTTTAATTGTCCAACAACTCTGACCCATAAAGTATTGTTGGTCTTATAACCGTTCTATAGAATTTTTCCTTAAGGTTCATTAATATTCTATGATAATATAAGACTTTCAAAGCACTTCTCCATTTCAACCATTTCGATTTGATTCGATGAACAACATCATCCTTAATTTCACCATCATGCCAAATGATTGATCCTACATAGTAAAAATGATTACTTTTAGATATTTCTTGACCCTCCATATGTACAATAGGTTTTTTTTCTTTTTTTTCTTTTATTAAAAATGCACTCCATATATTCTGTTTTTATTCTACTAATTCTAAAATCTTTAGATTCAAGAGCTTGTCTTCATCTTTTTTACTTTAGAATTTATACATTTTCTAGTTTTTCGTCAACTAACACTATATCATTTACAAATAACATACACCATGGGGTTTCATCTTGAATGTGCCTAGTAAGTTGATCAATAAGTAATGCAAAAAGATAAGGAGTTGAACCCGACTCTTGGTGTAAACCTATAGTAATAGGAAACAAGTTAGTCTCTCCATCATTAGTTCTTACTCTAGTTGTTACTATATCATATATATCTTTAATCATATCAATACACACACACACATACTAGATACATGTTTTTTCTATAACCCACCATATTGCCTCTCTAGGCACTTTATCATAAGCTTTTTCTAGATCTATGAAAATCATATGTAGATCCTTTCTCTTTTCTCTATATCTCTCCATCAACCGTCTCAAAATATGTATAGGTTCCATAGTTAACCTCTCGGGCATAAAATCAAATTGATTTTCAAATACACTTGTCTCATTTCTTAGTCTTTACTCAATTATTCTTTCTCAAAGTTTCATAGTATGACTCATGAGCTTTGTACCATGATAATTTTGACAACTTTGTATATCTCATTTATTCTTATATATCGTTATCAAAATACTAATCATCCACTTATTAGGCGTCCTTTTTGTCTCGATAATCTTATTAAATAATTTTTAAACATCTTAAGTCTATATCTCTAAGACATTTCTAAACTTCAATAGTGATACCATTCAGTTCTATGGTTCTTCCACTTTTCACCGTCTTTAGGTCATCTTTAACCTCACTAATCCTAATTTTTTGACAATATCTATAGTTTTTATCATTCATTATGTGGCCAAGTTCTCTATGTTGCTCACTTGTTTGGTTATTATTAAACAATTTATGAAAGTAACTCCTACATCTCTATTTTATTTCCCTATCTATTATTAGAACTCTTTGATCTTCGCTTTTAATACACTTTTACCTAAATCCCTACTCTTCCTTTCTCTAACATTAGCAAGTTTATATATATCTCTTTCTCGCCCTCCTTAGATTCTAACTTATTGTAAAAATTCTCATCAGACTTGTATTTAGTCTCACTAACTACTCTTTTTGCTTCCTTCTTCAATAGCCTATATTTCTTCAAGTTTTTCTTACTCCTATGCTTTTGTCACTCGTTATATAATATTTTCTTCTCTCTAATTGTCTTTTGTACATCCTCATTCCACTTCTAACTTTTCTTACCATCTAATCTACAACCTTTGGATTTTCCTAGTATATTTTTAGCCACCTTCTTAATACACGGAGATATGCTATTCCACATAATATTAGTCTCGTTATTCATATTTCATATATCTTTCGTCAATATCTTATTTTTAAAATGCATTAAATTCTCTCCCTTTTAAGTTTTACCATTTAGTTTTTTGTCTCTTGTTTATGTTATTTTTTTTACTCCACTTCTAGATAGACATGTCTAATACCATCAACCCATGTTGTGTAGTTAACCTCTCTCCTAGTATAATTTACAATTTTTACATATTAACCTATCCACCTTTCTACTAGGGAAAAAGTCTATTTGACTACTATTATATCCACTTTTAAAGGTTATTAAGTGTTCATCATTTTTTCTAAATTGTGTATTTGTTATTATCAAATTATACGATGCTGCAAACTCTCAATTGTGTAGTTGCTATTATCAAATCATACGATCCTGCAAATTTGGGTACGCAATTCCCTAGGCCCCCCTCGAACTGTTGAACACTTCATGCGAAACCAATTCCGGTACATTTATGAACCGATTCCTTTCGATACACGAATTGGTTCCCCAAAATTAGCGTATCGCTTACTGTATATGAGGGGACAAAAGTTGATTTACAAGTTTGTATTCATGCACATGTGCAAAGATTTTTTTTATATGTTTCGATAATATCACTAAAAGTATTCTTTTAGTAAGTGGAAATTATCCAAAGTTAATAACTAATTCTAGATCACTATTGCTTTAGCTAAGATATATATTGAGACAAGACAAGACAATAAATTATCAATATGAGTGAATGACTTTATTGCAACTGACAAAATAGCTATGTTAAATAAAACATGAAATGAAATGATCATCTCAATAAAAACTATGTGAAAAGAAAAAAAGTTTTAAAAAAATGAACTCTAAAGAATAGAAAAAGAATTGACTTGATATGCATGAGACATTCTTGAAATAGAGAACAAATTTCTTTAAAAAAACATAATTCAAAAAAGAAGAAGAGAAGAGAAGGAGCTTAGATGGAATTGTTTGGACTCGAAATTAGCAGAAGACGCACTAGATGTTAAGGGACAAAAAGTTGCAAAATAGAAACAAATTATTAAGAGGCTGCCTAATATTCACTATTTTTAGTTTTATGAATTCCAAAAACTATAAAAATGAAGTATTGAAGTATTTTATATGAAAAAAATTATTAAGAGGCTGTCTAATATTTACTGTTTTTAGTTTTATAGTTTATATTTTTTACTATACACTTTGAAAAATGATAAGCGTACCAGAAAAAATTACATTGTATCCTATATTGAACTTACGCATTAAAGCAAGCTACCCCTGTCGAATCCAGAATTTCAAAGTCTCGAATTGCGTACCCGAATTTGTAAGATGACCCACTACGTAGTGCGAACCATGTAACTATGCTTTATCCTCTTAATGTACTTTGGTTTAGCATGAGAATAGGAATTACTCGATATGAAGAAAGAAGAAGATTACAATAAATATTAGACAGCCTCTTGGATTATCTCTTCTGCTAGGGCACTAACAATTTCCTCCTTTATGCACTACGTGGTGCGAACCATGTAACTATGCTTTATCCTCTTAATGTATTTTGTTTATCCACTATCCTCTTAATGTATATTAGACAGCCTCCTTTATCCTCTTAATGTATTTTGTTTATCCACTACGTAGTGCGAACCATGTAACTATGCTTTATCCTCTTGGATTATCTCTTCTGCTAGGGCACTAACAGTTTCCTCCTTTATGCAGCTAGAGTTTCCTGCCCAGTTTCCTTGTCTTCTTCACATAGCGATGTGTTCAGCTCTTTGCAATGAGTCTACATTGCAATACAATCCAGATAAAAGAAATTATGAAAAAATTGGCGAGTCAACTGAAGTTGCTTTGCGAGTGCTAGTTGAAAAGGTCAGTCATTGGAGAATTTTTTGAAATAGACCAATTCACAAACTTAATTACCAAAATCAACCTGGTTGAAATTTATTTATCAAACTTAACCAATTTTCAACCACATTTATTTATCAAACTTAACCAACTTTAAACCACATTTGCATGGCGCTGAAAGTTGGTCAATTTTGAAAAAAAAAAACTACCTTCGAGAGCCTATGGGATTGGCAATCCTGTGTAATTAGTGGGCTAAGCTAACCACATGGGATTGGCAATCCTGTAGACTTAATTGTCACTCTAAAAATCACAGATAACCTATCCCGTGATATTTCGTTCATCACCAAGCTCCACGGGATTGTCAATTCCATGGAGCTTTTGTAATTAGTTTTCAAATCTCCGCTAGCTCCGATTCGAAACCCTAGCTAGAAAAGTGAAGCAAGGAGCAAACGTGCAGCTCTCTTGACTCCCATCCCGATCTCACTGATTTTATTGTAAGTCTCTCCCCTCTGTCAAAACCCTAGCTTTTTCACTTGAAACGGTGAGTTCGATACTTTGATTGGTAGCTATCTGATCGTCATATCCTTAAATTAGGCTTGTGTTGATTAACTATTGCTGCTGCTGAGATTTTCCTTTTCTGGGTTCTCTCTGTTTATGGTGCCGTTTCGGAGTAAGAGAGTAATGGACACACCCTCTTTTGATGTTCACAGGGCGGAATCTTCTGATCAGCATTGATGGAACAGATTAAATTAGGAATCCTGTGGAGCTCTATGGGACTGTGGGTCTTCTAGAGTTAAAAAATATTTTCAACACTACACGAGATTTGAGATCCCATGGAGTTTAACAATCTGCTAATCACACGGGATTGGCAATCCCGTATGATTAGCGTAGGCCATGAATCTTACGGGATTGACAATCCTGTAGAGGTCAAAAGCAATCTTTTTCAAAATGGACGATGTCTCGGTACACATTGTTGGTGTGGCTGAAACTTGGTCGATTTGAATAAATAAATGTGCAGTTAGTCGATTTTGGTAATAAAAGTTGTGATTTGGTCTATTTCAAAATTTCTCCTTAGTCATTTCATGCAATCATTATATGTACAAGAAAGTTCTAGTTCTTTCATTAAGAATATGTTGCAGGGAGTTCTATTTATATTAATCTCTGTCAGGTCGGCCTTCCTGGTTTTGATTCTATGCCTTCAGCTCTGAATATGCTGAGTAAGCATGAGCGTGCATCATACTGCAACCGATATTGGGAACATCAGTTCAAAAAGGTCTGTCTTCTCTTAGCTAAATTATTAGATTGTAAACAATATGACAATAGTTTGATCAATGCCATGCTATTTTTAACCCATATTTGAAGTTGTGCTCATGCTTCTTTTTTCATTCTATAATGTGAAGGTCATCCAGTAGGTTCAATCAGGTTTTTCTTTTGCTTGTTTCTAAAATGAAATCACCAAATTCTATTAGCTGAAATTATGTAATTTCATATAATACTTCACTATTTTTATGATCGACTTCATGTGTAGTATTCTGTTCTAATTTCTGAGATTCACAGTACCTTTTATGTTTCTTTATTCAATTTATTCACGTATGGTTTATCAAGTAAAGCGTGCAATTGATATTCATTAAATGATTTAGTCGTCATCTGCGTGATCCAAAAGTATGTAGTGGATATTTTTTAAGCTCATATGGTAAATTATTGTTTGTAGACTTCATGAGCCACAATAATATTATTAGAAACTATGTTCTATGCATGCACCATGATAGTTTGTTCTTGTGCCAGTTTTACAGATTATGTAGTTATTACTTATCAGGCCCTTTATGAAGCCAATTTGACCCAAATCAGATATGAGTCTCTCCAGAATACATATCTTTCGAGTCATGTTTATCTTTTTGGACTTGGTAGCCAACTAGGTTACCGGACACTTCCTTTGGGCTCCTGTATCCTTGTCTGACACTTCCCATATCCATGCCTATGTCAAACACTACTTGGACACTTCTTGGAAATATACATACATTTTATTCAGACATGTACTCAATTATATATACCCGTTTTAGTTTGAAACACTCATGGTACAATTCTTGGATGCATATCTTACACTTCATTCAATTTCTGCAACTCGTTGGACTCATGTCAGGTTTGGCCCATACCCAGTTCATAAGTATGATTTTTAAAGAGTCGTTTGGGTATCTAGTTAAAAAAGAAACGGTTTTTCAATTTGTAATCCACTCAATAATACAGGCATAAAAATGTTAAGGCATTTTAGTTCTCATACATGTGTATGAAAAAATATCAATCTTATAAATTATTAATTCCAATATATATATATATATATATATATATATATATAGACACACACACACACACACACACCCATATCCTACCTTTTACAAATTTGCCATGTCTCATATCCCCATCCGTTTGCGTGTCTGTACCTGCATGCATAACTGTGCAACATAGGTAGCCAATGTGATGGACCTATTGAGCTATGAATTTTTTTCATGGATGTGTCTTAACATAACCCTGTCAGAAAAATTGGATTCTTGCATCATATTTAAGGAAGAAAAAAGATTTTTTCCCTGATCCTAGGATACTATCTAGAATTCAGTCATGCAAAATGATGGCAGAAAATGATCTGTGCTGATTCACCTTCAGTCCTAGCTAACCATAATGCTGAAGTTTACCATATATCTCAACAGTTCTCTTCTACATTCTGAATTTTTTTTCCACATTTCAAGTTTGTATTCCATGAAGAAACATGATTCTAATTTCTGTCCTTTTATTTCTAACATGTCTATTGGAAGGGCGGTCTATCTAGATTGCAAATACTCCTGTATTCTTCTATCCTGAAGTCTCTCACTTAATGACCCGTTCTTTTCTAATCTTTTACTATGATACCTCTATCAGTAGCAATAACATCTTTGGCCTATGAGAGGCCATATTATATCTTATCAATGCAATTATTATCATCTTACTGTTAATAATGTTGTATTCTTCACCCAAATTGATTTCTTCAATTCCTAATGCTTACTATGTAAACTAGGACATTACTATTATTTCACTCCATTCTTGTTGTACAATATCTCTTAAGGTTAAAGGATTAGTTGAAACAAATTGTTGAAATATTGTGGTGTGGATGTGTCGGGGGCGGGGGGGGGGGGGGGGGGGGGGGGGGGGGGGGGGGGGGGGGGGGGGGGGGGGGGGGGGGGGGGGGGGGGGGGGGGGGGGGGGTTGCTTAAAGGTTTTTAAGAGCTTCCCCATTTATCCATGTGCGTGTTCTTAGTCTGCTGTCAAACTGGTTCTACTTGTGGATTTTAATTGATTGTTTTGATGGCACTAATGCACAGGAAAAATATTCCAGATTACTTGATCTCTTATCCTTAGAATAATAAGGTATGCTGATTATAATGAGTAGAGTGGATAATACCATAGTACACTTGGTATGGAGTTCCTACCGGAGGTTATTTTGAAGGTCGTATCTAGACGAACAAGTTCATGGTCACATAGACATTTTCCTGTATATGCTCTAGCCTTGTGTTTTGTGTTAATGGATTGAAGCTAGGATTAGAGTTTGTTCTCACATTTTGAGAGTTACATGATGAGCCATCCAAATAGACTGACCCATTTCATTCTCCTAATCTAAACATCTTGAACACATGTGGAGAGAGTGGAGTAATGTGCAAAAGAGTACAATGAACATACTCAATGAAAACAATTACCCAGTGGGAAGTTTATGATGACTACCCAAATTGTTAAAACTTAATCATTTATAGATTTTTTAATGCCTCTATCAATCCATATAATTTCGGTTATATTCTACTTGCTGCAATCTCTCAGATCTCGCTTTTGGAGTTTTCTCGTGACCGCAAAATGATGAGTGTGCTTTGCAGTCGAAAGCAACAGGAGATTATGTTCTCCAAAGGTGCACCTGAGTCCATCATCTCTAGATGCACACATATTTTGTGCAATGATGATGCTTCCTCTGTTCCATTAACTACAGACATTCGTAATGAGTTGGAGGCTCGATTCCAAAGGTCAGATTGTGTCCTATTTTCACTTAGATAAGCATTGCATGCTAACTTTCTTGATTTCACATCATTATTTGCAAGCTTTCTTTGCTCAATGTAGTCGAGCAGTTTTATATGTTCTTAGTTTGTCCTTGATTATTTGGCTATCTCATTATTGTCTTCCTAGCCATTTATTGTCAAGAGGAGAAGGGTTTCTGAAACCCATGAAACATCATTTGTTTACGGCTGTCAACTTTACATCAATCCTATAAACTAGTGCCGGAATTGCTTTTATGTGTTTATTCCTGATCAAATTTCTGATGAGGCTTCCATCATGATTTGATAATCGCATTATTCTAGCCTCTTGAGAAAATGTGGTTTCAAATATGAGATGAAAATTCGTCATTAACATCTTTAAAAAGTTTCAGTTGCCATATTACAATTTGTTCCTGGTCAATTCTGATAATATTCCTTCATCTTTCATTTCTTTTGATGCTTATATTTGTGCCAAATTACTTCTTGACAGTGGCCATTGTCAATTTGAAGCTTATAAAATAGTATATTCTGTACTTCGAAGTTGTTAGAATATAAAACTATAATCCTCAAGCTTTATCATAACTTTGAAGTTCTGATACATAGGTTTGATATATAGGTTAGAGGGACTTTCACATGGTATCAGAGCCAACCGCGTTTCAAATCTTGCTATCCACAAATTTAAAGCGGATTTTAAAAAAAATTGTTACCTCTACGTGAGTCCAGGTTTTAGCCCATAAAAAAGGGCGTCCAACTTGTGGGTATGTTAGAATATAAATCTATAATCCTCAAGCTTTATCATAGCTTTGAAATTTTGATATATTGTTAGAGGGACTTTCATAGAAGATAATGCCTAGTTTTATGGTATCCATTCAAGAATAATTCAGACCTCGTTTTATGGTCTTAGCAGTGCATCTTAATCTTTTTAACCTGCATAATGCTACGATGATGTTATTGAATGCTCTGATATCTTGCTTGAGGACTGAAACTTTTTGATGGACACCTATTGAAGATAAACAATAATTTTACATTTTATCAGTATGACCCTCTAACATTATCTAATTTGCCAGTTTTGCAGGAAAAGACAGTCTAAGATGTTTAGCATTAGCTCTAAAGCGGATGCCCACCGGTCAACAGACACTCTCTTATGAGGATGAGACGAACCTTACATTTATTGGGCTGGTTTGTCATTTTTTCTCTGGATTGTTTACATGGCGCAAAATCATGCTCTTGTAGCAATCTTCCCTGCCTGTTCACAAGTCTATCACATACATGTGTACTTGAAGTCTTTTTTTGGTTAACTCTCTGTTTCTGGCAACAGGATAACTCATTATGCAGGACACCGAGATAAAGTGATGACTTTCTTACTTTTGAATACGACTGAGAATTCATGGATTTGTGGTGATATCATGATGTATAAAGTTGAGAATTTGCTTACAATTGAGTTCTAGAAAATGATATTGTCTTCCTAAGCTCGAGTAAAAGTCTGTAATAGTCTGTCAACTAGGAGTTCTTAAAATTAGCCTGGATTAAGGACAAGGGAGTAGGAAACACTAACTGAAGGGCAAAGAAGCAAGGGCATAGGAATAGATGTTCTGCAAAAATATTGGTATATCCTCTTTTTTTCAATAACAGGAATTAAAAAAAAAACAGTGACAGTATCAAGAATAGTTAGTAAATATAGCTAATAAGTTGTAGTTACATTTAATTACTTTTTTTTCCTCCTTTCCTGCACATGTCTCTTGAGTTGAGATTTGCTTGATTAATTTGTCAATTTCCATATGCATTCTTCTAGGTTTTGCCTTTGCATTCAATTCTTACAGGATAAACTGTTGAAAATTTTCCTTTATAAAGCTTTTGCTTCATGTTTTGGATTATTTCCTTGACTTTCTGTAAAATAAAAAATTGTGATGGAGCCTTCCTTTAACTTTCCAGTAATACTGTAATATACAAAATGTCTGAGATTCATAGTCCATTTTCACCAGACTATGGATTACTAAAATCTTTAGTTCTTTTATAATTTTAATAAAGTTAATCTAAATGTGGTTTCTGTGAAGGTCGGAATGCTTGATCCACCGAGGGAGGAAGTAAAAAGTGCCATGATTTCATGTATGCAAGCTGGCATTCGAGTTATCGTTGTTACTGGAGATAATAAAGTAAGTGAAAAGGATCATCTTCCATATCCTTTATTTCATTCTTAGGCATGTTGATTTACATTCTATTTTTATGCTAGTCTACAGCAGAATCTCTTTGTCGGCAAATTGGTGCTTTTGAGCACTTAGATGATTTTACTGGATACTCATATACAGCAGCAGAGTTTGAAGAACTTCCTCCAATGCAGCGGACATTAGCATTGCAAAGAATGGTACTCTTCACAAGGTATAGTTCTGTCTAGTGGATGTCATTCTATTTTGGTGACATTTGCTGATACTCTTCGCATAGTTGCTTACATGTTACTTTTTCAAGCGAAATATGTCATATTGCGCCTTCATTTGATTGTACCTTTTAGGAAATCTGAATATCTGACTGGACTATATTTAGGGTTGAACCTTCTCATAAAAAGATGCTGGTTGAAGCACTGCAAAATCAAAGTGAAGTGGTAAGCCTTATGCTTATTTGAATTAGTTGTCTGATCGATCCCATTTCAAGCTTACAACTGCATATTATGTATTTTGCATTGACATATGTTCTATATACAATATTTTCCTGTCGATACTTCCAATATGAAAGTATTTCAGTTATGAGCTTTATATTTTCTGGTCACCGTTGTATGAAGATTCAAAATTTAGCCTACTGTACCTTCGTAAAGCTCATTTATTTGTTAGTAGCTCTCCCGTTTAATCTTTCTCATTTAATTTCAGTGGTTTTCCATGAATGCTTATAGAAGTTCATTACTAATTCACTACTTCTGAGAAATAGTTGTGTTCAAGTGACGGATTTGAAATGTTATTATTGATGTACAAGGTTGCAATGACTGGGGATGGTGTCAATGATGCACCTGCATTGAAGAAGGCAGATATTGGAATTGCCATGGGTTCAGGAACAGCTGTAGCAAAGGTGACACTTTTTACCTTTTCTTTTGAATGTGACGTGCATACATGGCTGCTAATTTTTTTAATGAATTATCTACCCTATAAATCACAGGATTAAGATATACGATGATGCATTCTATTTTCTAATTCAAATTATGAGTCCTGAGGAGAATAGTGATTCAGATTCTCGTCCTTAATGTTTGTGAGATGAAATATACTTGAATTTAAGGTATTGTTATGATTGATAGTTTGTTAACAAAGACGTACACAACCTTGAAGTCTTTCATCAACATTTTCCATTAGAAGGAAACAAATATGTAAGTGAAAATTTACTTCAGGAATGGAATGATTGGTTTTGATATCAAATTTTGTTTGAATAAGGGGTTTTTTTCGGATGTCTGTGTGAAATTTGAGGATCTATGACCCAGATTGGAAAGTGGTTATCCACCTAATCATTTTTCAAATGAGAGTTTCCTTCGTTTGGTTTGGATTTCATTGGGAATCCTAAAATGATAAAAATACATTGTTTGGTTTGCATGTCGTAGTTTTGGAAAGTGATAATTATGTGGACCCTATTCAAATGATTGTTATACCATAAGGTAAGGTTGCCTCATAAGATAATCTTAAGGAGTTTTTCTATATTTGTCCCTAAAATCTTTCATAAATTTGAAATAAACCCCTCAAATAATTAAATTACTATTAGGTGCCCCAATTATCAGGTTATTTCAAAATTGGTCTCTCAAATCACGAGTAAAAGTAGCAATTGGAGGGGGTTAATTTGAAACAAAGAATGGGTCACCTAATTGCAACTTGAAGTATTGGAGGGACTAATTTCAAAATAATTTAGGACCCAATGGTAATTTCAAAATTTTGAGGGGCTAAATTCAAAATATGAAAGATTTAAGGGACAAAATATTAAAAGAGGCCTATAGTCTAGTGTTGTTCAGCTTTCACGAACTGGGGAACCCAATAATTATTTCAATAATTTGAGGGGCTAAATTTAAAATATGGAAAATACAAGGGATTAAAGTTAAAGGAGAGTTTATTTTTGTTAAGCATTCATGAAGGGCGGTAACTGGGGCAGTTGAGGTTTTTAACCCTTTTTTTTAACACGATGTCCACTTTTCTCCAATTTCACTCCAAAATGGAGTGATTTCACTTTACTCTCCACCTCAGCAAAACTTGTCAGGTTTCACCACATTTACTTGCTTTTCGATTTGAAACCGAACACCGTAAATTTCGTAAAGCTGCAGCTAGGCCCTGCATTATAGCACCTTTTCCCCACTTTCAGTTGATTTCTTTTTCTCTTTTCCTTTTTTTTTTTGGTGACAACCAACCAGCCCATAAAGTGAAGGGGGTAAACTTAGAAAGCATCCTAATCTGGACAAAAAAAAATGTTATGGACATACACTGCCCAACTTTTAGAGCATAAACTTAAATGGATATTCATATATGTTTATAGTAATCACCATAAATTCAGAATATAATATTGGATAACACAGATACATACAGATTGAGAGAACTTGGATTAGCCTAACAACTGGTGCTTTTAATCTATCAGCTGGTCCTTCTGTCTTCAGGCGTACTTGAAATGTGTATTGTGTATCACCAATGGTTGTTAATCTGATAAATAGTGGATTGCTTATTGCTGCACGCTATTATATATGATTAAATTCTTGATAAATTTTTTCCCTGCTTTATCTTTTGAAGGTTATAAGTTTCCTTTTGGGCACTAGGTTTGATGCGAAATATGAGTATGAAACTAGATTTGATTTATCTTATTACGGTATAGGGATAGGTGATATTAGCTTGCTAACTTCTTTTAATGATTTTTTTCATTGTCATGGGCAATGTTACATTAAACGCTGGGCGCTTCTAGGCGTCGGACTTGGCGCCCAGCGCTTAGTCGTCTAGGCGGGCGCCTAAGCGGTTTCTGGGCGTTTTTTTTTTCTTTCTTCATTTAAGTGGTGATCGATGAGGTTTTGCTGAAGGTCGGAGGAGGTAGTGAAGGTGTTCATATTTGGAGGTTAATGGAGTTTGGAGGACGTGTAGGCTACGACACATAAAATCACAATCAATGCCTACAGGGTGCAATCCACATAAGCAGACAATGCTCCCCTAAACGCTCGTAAAATCTAGGTGGGCAGCTTAAATACCGCCTAGGCGCTAGGCGCTAGTTAGGCGGCCTAGGTACCGTCTAGGCCTAGGCGTACGCCTAAGCGGACTAGGCGGATGTTTTTTAAAACAGTGGTCATGGGTGAGGATGAAACCATCAAAATGCTAATGATAAGTGCATATGTTCATTATGAAAAAAAATTAGTGCTAAACAGAAATCTGAGAAAATGATGCCAGATATAAATGATATTCTTGTAACAACACAGATGCTTGTCAAGCGCTTCCTTTTTTAAGAGCGCGCGCGCGAAATAGAACCTTTAGGAATAGTTGGAAAGACGTTGAGATCTCTTGAATTTCACACAACGTAGCTCATTCAGCATCATTCAACCTCCAAAATTTCTCCAGTTCTTTGTCATGATGGTTATTTGGAGGTAAACGTCCAGATTTAATTTCCCAGTCCATTGTACACTTCCAACAAAGGACAAAAAGCTATAATTTCATCTGGATTTGTCACTCAACAAGCTAAAATATAATTAGGTATTATTAATCAACTTAATTCTACAGGGGAATTTGTACATGATTTAAGTAATGTTGAGGATCTACATGTGATAAATGAGGATAATTCAGATGAACCTTATGCGAAAAAAATGGAAAAGTAGAAAACATGTATTAGTACAGTTATACTGCCAATGTAATTGATTTACAGTGATCATTGAAGGAAGATATTGATTTCTGCAGAATAATTTCAGAATTTTCACTTAGATATAAACTGATTTATTAGAACATAGGAAGGTTATTTAATACATTAGGATACTCCACTGTATAGACTACAAGGCATAGCTCTTTGCTTAAGAATGACTCTGGAGAGTTATTATCTTTGTAAAAGAGGCTTCAAATTTTATATAAAAAAGAGTATACCTAAAAACATTCTGAATCTGAGTAGGTAATCAGGAAAAATGATTTAAGTTTTTTCACGAATATAGTAAGAAACTGTTGCTAAAATTAGTAGCCACCGTTCATGTGATAGTAATCTTGCTATTCATCTGAACACTACTTTGCATCAGATTTTGCATGCAATGTGATAGATAAACAAACATGTGTATTTTCCCTAATAATTTACTTCCACTAATGAAATCAAAAGAGAATAGAGTTTTCGCATTGATGTTTTAGTGTTTGTTTGGACTTTTGAGTTTCTAGTTTTTGGGGTTTTTATTGTCTGGACCTATGTGATCTATTGTTATAGAAGCGATAGGGACTGCTTATCTGAAATGGGTTAAATCTAAATGGGCTGCGTAGCTCTTTTGTGATTATATGAGGGCTGGGCCGCTAGGGTGCAAATTGTATTAACTTTGGGGTCAGATTTGAATTTTACAAGGGGCTTAATGATAACTCTAAGAATTCCAGGGGTCCAACTGGCCCCCTAGAGCACCATGTCAACCTGCCCCTGGTTGCATGCATTTATTTCTTTCCATGATCCAGTGGTTGATTGATTCTTAACATCAAACAATCATGATCAATGATATACAGAGTACGGATGGTATCATGCTAGCAATCTTTCCTTGAAGACCATTTTTAATCCTTTTAACCTTTTGAAACTGGATTGAATTTTTTAAAAAGTATTGCTGATATCATGCATGTATCTAGTGACACACCTTAATGAAGACACATATTCATTTAAATATAACTGCAGAGGAATCAATTACCAGTAGATGATTTTATGGAATTTATGACCACCTACATTACCTGTGTACTTCTATCATGAAGCCGTATACATACCCGACACATGCACCAAAACTTCACAGACTGCTTGGGTATATGCATACATATATTTAGACATGTACTCAATTATACGATATATTTTTTAATTTAAAGCACTTGGCATACACTTCTTGGATGTATATCTGACACTTCACATCATTTCTTGAAGCAGGTTTGACATGTGTCGGGTTCGTTTCAACCCATACCCCCTAGGTCAAAACTATGATTTTAAAGGATTGTTTGGTGCCCTGTTCAAAAATGAGCACTTTCCAATTTATAATAGTCAACATAATAAAAGAAACTTAAAAATGTGATGGGAATTTTAATTCTAATAACATATGAATTGAAAAACATAAATGATCTCATGCAAATTATTAATTTCAGCACATATTTTTAGTCGTGTCCCTGTACCCTACATTTTACAAATTTACCGTGTTCCGTACCTGCATCCGTACCCATACATGTTTCCATGCAATTTAGATGACCACCTTTCACCTCGATCATTTATTTGGAATAAGTCAGTTTTTAAGCCTTCTGTCATGTCATGTCACTTTGTTAAGCTTGTGTTCATGGATGTTATAGCTCTACTAAATAATTTCCTTGTTTCTTTTCCAAATTATTGCAGACTTTGAGTAAAATCAGGAAAAGTTAAAAAAAAAACAAGATGACTAGTTTAATCCTCGTACTTGCTATGACGGATAATGGTTGCATAAATTTTTTTCGCAAGCTGGAAGCCTGAGCTTTGTGGTACTATGCAACACAATTAAGAAGATCGAACTCTGCATAGCTCATAAGCTTGTCTTTGAAATAGATATAGTTAGCCAGGGTTTTTATGTTTTCTAATAGTGTGTTGCATTGCTTTTACTTGCAGCCCCAATTTTTTTTGTAGCTAATGATATTGGTTGGTCAGCATATTTACTCTGAATGTCCTATTCATGTTTTATTTACGAGCTCTCTACTAATTTTGATTCATTTTTAAATTTCTAGAGTGCTTCTGACATGGTGTTGGCAGATGACAATTTTGCTTCAATTGTTGCTGTAAGCTTCTTTTAGTATTTAACTTTCTAGTGAACTTTTACTATAAGCTAAGTATTAAAACCCATCACTAACATTTTTTTGGCAGGCTGTTGCAGAGGGAAGAGCTATATACAATAACACAAGGCAATTCATCAGATATATGATCTCTTCTAATATTGGAGAAGTAGTTTGTATATTTGTGGGAGCAGTACTTGGGATGCCTGACACTCTAGTTCCTGTAAGCACTTGTTAACATAATGTGTGGTCACATTTATAGTGCTTTGTAGTTGTAAATAAGGTGGTTGTGATTTTAATTTTTTTCTCTTCTTATGATTTCTCAAAGATCTTAGAAGTTTTCTTTCCCTTCTCTTTTTACCTCTAAACAAGATTGCATGTGTTTCTCAAATTATAGTAATACCAATTGTAGATAACACTGTTTGTAATGTTTCTTATTATAAATACTTTAGTTTGTTTTTCCTATTTATTAGCTTAAGTTTTGCTGTTTCTGTTATATATTTTTAAATATATCTTTACTGTTTACAGGTCCAGTTACTTTGGGTGAATTTGGTTACTGATGGCCTACCTGCTACAGCAATTGGTTTCAACAAACAAGATAGAAATGTGATGATGGTTAATCCCCGGAAGGTATGGTGAACGGTCAATGATGAAAGTGCTCATACTATATCATAATAAACATACTCTGGAACAAACTTGGACTGCGAAGTCTTCAATTTTCAAGACTATGATGTTCTTTCAACTTACAAGTTTTAACCTGTAATTGTTGCTCATCATACCTAAATAAACGTCTGTGCTTTATGTTGTGAACTATTCGAGCATTTTATTGGAAGATGATAAAGAGGAATTTGCATAGGAAAATAGTGAGAGTGGGTCTGAATGAAAGAGATGTATCTTAGAGCATCCAAATGACATAAACGGCTTATGCAATTGCTAAAGTGGGATGGAACCACAATGTTATGGAAATAGACTCATCAAGATTGCATGTCATAACTCTGATTGTGATTGGGCCATTCAATACAAAAAGGAAGACGGATGCATCTGTTATTGGAAATTGTGTACCTTCAATGATTATCTGGTAATTCAGTGAAAGATGGAGGTAACTCAAACAATGGAAGAGCATTCTCTGAGAAATTGTTGTATATAAAAAGAATTTTGAGCACCTAAAAATTTAACAATGTTACACTTGAAAGCTTCAAGGCAGGTTTGTCAACAGTTTTAAACATTGAGAAAAGACCATCATAGGTTGCACAAAACAGCAACCCTGAAGCTATATTAGCTGTTTTATGGAATATGGAATCTTTTTAAACTACTGGAATGGTGATTGTGGAATCTAATTAGGATGGAGTTTAAATGAAGGTGATATTCCCTGACGCTTAGCGAATAGAGCATCAGTGGTAGTAAAAGTACCATGGATTCAAATAAATAGCTCATATGACCGAAAATGAATCTGGATTTAAATTTTCGATATAAATTTCAGGCCCTATATAAATCTCTGGCTGTATTTAAGACTACTTTGCTTCGTACTTGGATATATGTCTATTCTTCCAATTTCTTCTTTCTTTTCTGCCTTTGCTTATTGGAGTATTTGATGCCTGTGTTGTTAGGATGTTACTACTGAAAAGCATCTCATCCACAGCATTGCATTAGCATCTTACATCTGCATGTTCTTTTTTTCTAAACGCAGACATAATTTTTAATAAATTGGTTAACATAATAAAGTTCTTGGTAATCTAGAAACGTAACTGTATAAAATGGATAGGGTTTTCATTCTCAAATTGTATGCTCCAAATATAAATCAAACTGACACGCTACTTTTGACCTTTCATTTTTACTTTGATTCCTATGGGAAAAAAAGCATTTTCCTATGAAATGTACCTGTATAAAATGGATAGGGTTTTCATTCTCAATTTGTATGCTCCAACTATAAGTCAAACTGACTCACTAGTTTTGACCTTTCGTTTTTACTTGATTCCTATGAAGAGCAAAAAAACCATTTCATTTTAATTTTTAGGCACTTTACACAGTGTATATCAAAGTTGAACAGAGAGTGGGTCTTCATTTTGATTTACCAGTCATTCAACGTTGGTGCCAAGGAATTTATTCTGAATCCTCCTAGAAGGAGCCATATTAGCCACTGCCTCTCTAAACATGCATGCATAGATATTTAGTTACATAGATACATACTTACATACTTCTATATGCATTTACGCACAGACACATATGGATGTATGCATACATGGGCACATGTATGTACACTTACATGCATACAAATGTGGTCATTTTCCTTAACGTTAAGTGTTGATAACTCAAGGTTAAATGCTTGTCCATTTTCTATTTCAGGCTAATGAAGCTGTAGTTACTGGATGGCTATTTTTGCGTTATTTAGTAATTGGAGGTATGTCTCAGAGTCTGAATGCTATCAACTCATTAACTTATCTTACTTCTATGTTATTTTCGTGGACTTCCACCTTTCCTATGAAACTATTTTCATCTATCATACTGATGCCTGATGGGGTCGCTTTATCAATTACGAGATCATCAAAGCACAATAGCTATTATTTTTTGTGTAAAGAGTAGTTGTAAGACCTCTTTCATTCCCTGTAAATAAAGGAACTAAACTTATTGCCATTCACCTCATGAACTGTAAAATGTCTGTTTTCTTTCTCTGATGGTAATATGTAGCTGAGTGGAAGTTAATAGTTCTGTTAAAATGTGGATAAAGAGCATGATAATATTGAAAGATGAATTATTGAGATTGTTTTACCCGAGAGGTATTAAGGTTTGTCATACTGCAATGGAGGTTCTGAAACAAGAGAAGGGTACATGGAAGTACACACTCACAGGGATTTGAATATAAACTAGAAGAAAGTGGAAAATTAAGTATTGAGGTTATCATATTGCAGTAGAATTACCATAAAAATTGGGACAGATATATGGAAGACCACGCATCCACATTGAATATGAACTACAAGAAAGTGGAAGTTCTTTTCCATAAATTTTAAATTTTTATTACGGAAATATCCCATGTTCATTCAACTTTTACCTTTAATGTAGGTTATCCGGACACTTCATCTGAGCCCACATATCCGTGTCTGAAACTTTTCGTATCCATGCCTGTATTTGACACTCCTTGGACACTACTTAGAAATATATATTTTATTCAGACTTGTAATCAATTATAAATGTTTTAGTTGGAAGCACTCGTCTTATACTCCTTGGACATATCTTGCATTTCACTCAAATTTTTGCAACTCCTTAGACTCCGGTTGTGTTCATTTCAGCCCATACCCAGTTCATAAGTATAGTTTTTAAAATGTCATTTGGGTATCTAGTCCAAAAAGAAGTGGTTTTTCAATTTATAAACTTCTCAATAAAATAAACATAAAAATGTTAAGGGATTTTAGCTCTCATGCATGTGAATAAAAAAACAATATCAATCTCATGTAAATTATTAATTTATATATATGTGAATGAAAAAACAATACCAGTCTCATACATGTGAATGAAAAAACAATATCAATCTCATGTAAATTATTAATTTATATATAAATATATATGAAGAAATAATATAAACAAAATCGACCATTTAATAATAAATTTAGCAAAATCAACCTGGCCAAAATGAGGTCAATTTTGTAAAACAGAAGTTTTAATTTACACGGGACTATTAGTTCCATGTGATTAGCAACTGTTTAGGAATCAACATGTCTTCTAGTGCTGCACCACTAATGAAGACTAGTGTGTTCTAATTACACGGGGACAGTAGTCCCGTGTAATTTCCAAACCTTTTTTCAGCAAAATCGACCGTTTCTGCCAAGATGGTAGAAAACAGTCGATTTTGCTAATTTTTCTATAACAAGGTCAATTTTGTTAAAATTAATTAAAAAATGATCCTTTATAAAACATTGTCATATATATATGTATATATTCTTTGAAACGATTAATCTTATTTTCAGGAAATGGGTAGGGGGAAATCCATAATTACAAAATTCTTATTTTTAGGAGGAGACAAAAGAAAAGGAGAAAACAAACGAAGAAAAAGAAGAGGAAAATGAAAGAATAACAATATCAGAAGCTTGGGATATCTTTATATTTACTCAAGCAATAAGAGGTTTAATGTTAGTAACCCAATCTTTTCTTCGAAAATACGTTATATTACCCTTATTGATAATAGCTAAAAATATCGGCCGTATGTTATTATTGCAATTCCCCGAGTGGTATGAGGATTTGAAGGAATGGAATAAAGAAATGCATGTTAAATGTACCTATAATGGCGTTCAATTATCAGAAACAGAATTTCCCCAAAATTGGTTAACAGACGGTATTCAAATAAAGATTTTATTTCCCTTCTGTCTGAAACCTTGGAGAAGATCTAAAATACGATCTCATCATCGAGATCAGAAAATAAAGAAAAAGGAGAAAAAAGACAATTTTTGTTTTTTAACAATCTGGGGAAAGGAAGCAGAACTACCTTTTGGGTCTCCCCGAAAACGACCTTCTTTTTTTGAACCCATTTTTAAAGAACTCGAAAAAAAAATGAGAAAATTGAAAAAGCAATTTTTTCAAGTTATAAAGGTTTTCAAAGAAAGAAGAAAACGGTTTCAAAAAGTTTCAAAAAAAAAAACAAGATGGGTCATCAAAATAGTTCTAGTTATAAACTTAATAATGAAAGAACTTGAAAAAATAAACCCCATTTTCTTATTGAAATTGAGGGAGATCAAAGTATATGAACCGAATGAAAGCGGAAAAGATTCCAATATAAATAATAAGATTATCCGTGAATCGACCACTCAAATTCGATCCATGAATTGTGTAAATGAAAATTCTTCACTCATAGAAACGAAAATCAAAGATCTTGCTAATAAAACAATCACAATTAGGACTCAAACAGAAGGAATCACAAAAGATAAAAAAAAAATAGTTAGGAACTTGGTACTAAGCACAAAATTTGTGCTTGGTAGTATGGTGTCTCATTCGTATCCACTTTCTAATCCATGTGAATGTGGTCCCCATTTCAATGAGTGGATGAGAATGAGTCACCTCACTACCAAGCACAAAAACTTGTGTTTGGTACCAAGTTCCTCCATATTGCTCACACACACACACACATATGTATATACTAGTACCAAGTTCCTACATTTTTCTCATGTATGTATGTATGCATGTATGTACTGTTATAAATAGCGGTGCTAATAGCGTTAGCGGTCCCTTCCCGCGACGCTATCGCACGCTACGCTATCACGCAATAGCGGTGACATATTACGGAATATGTTTGTTGGCAAAAACGACCAATTGTGTGTCATAACGGTAAATAGTGAGCGATTGCATTCGAATTTTGCTTTTTGACTGCTATTTAAAAGCGGTTCGAGGCTTATTTTTTTAAAATTAAACTCAACCCTCGACCATTGCATTCCACCGTCTCCTGTGATTTTCAGCATACTCCCGTCACCTCTCATAGCCTTTGACACCTACCTTGATATTTTCTCTCACCTCATTCACCGTGAGCTCTCTTAGGGCAGTCCTGTCATCGCTAAACTCTTCTTCTCGAAGACGATGATTTTTTGACTCCAGTCATCTTCGGTATTACGTGATGGTTACATGTCTATTTCATGTTTAGGATCTCTTTAAATCATCCAATATGTACTTTTAGATTTTTTAGATTTTTTAGATTTTTCTTTTTTAGTATCTATACATATCTAAATTAGACCGCTATTTAATTTTGCGTTTTTACCATTATTTTGTGGTAATAGCCCGAAATAGCCTTAGCGATGCCTCACCGCTACGCGACGCTATCCGCTATTGATAACATTGATGATTATTATTGTTATTATTATTTGCAAATGACTCTCACATCCATGTCAACATGAAAATAAAATATAGTGTTTGTTTGAAAAACGAAATTATTGTAGAAAGTGCAATGTAAAAATGATATGGCAATATAGGACTAATTAGTAAATATAGTTAAAAATTATTTTATAAAATTGATTACCATTTTTGTCTCTTTTATGTGACTTCACTACTTTTTTAGAAGTCAAAATTGCATTAAATCCTATATGGTAACTTTCTTGCATTTCACTTTCTTTCATGCAAACGGACACTTAAAATGTTAAAAATGAGTCACTTTCTCACTCTCGTCTTTTACTTGCATTCAGAGAAACACCGCCTAAGTGCAACTTTATTTAATGCACAGTGTAATGAGCCCCTTTGACATCTATTCATCAATGAAGAATTCTTAACGTGAAAACACTGAGATAGTGCTAATCTTTGAATAGTGATCCACAGAGTCCCAAATGAAGTGGTTAATTCAAAAAAAGCCTTATTCTTTGGGAAATCTATTTCGTGTCTAGTACTACACGGTTCCATTTTGTAAAAACTCTGAATCATTCTCTTGAAGCTCATCCTCTTAATAATAAGTGACCGCTTGCCCTAAAAAACCTGGCCCAATAGGGAAATCCCAATACAATGGGCCTTTCAATACAAAGAAATAGATTGCCACAAGGGCGTCATATTCTAGGAGCCCAAATTATATGATTGAATAAACTCTCCTCTATCTATTTCAGGTCGAGGAACCCTCCCCTTCTTCAAACTCCGGGTTGTATTTTTCATAAAAAAGTTAATCAACAATAGAAAAGTATCCATTTTGCATCATATCTAACAGACTCATTGGTTCTGACCAAAGAAGCTTTTAATAATATGGTTGTGATCTATCATTACTCGCAACCATCTTCATCAATTGATTAAATTTAGCGAAAAAGAAATGGTATTCATCTGCAAAGTACAAGCTTGTTCCAAAGTTGTTCTATAAATGTCCTAAGGTATCATTTCAAACACATTTGCGGGGCAGACTTGTACACATTGAGTACATTCTATGCATGTATCATAAATTTTTACTGAATGCAACATTAGGTCTATGAATTCTAATTTTGGACATAAAAATGTTTAATTTCAATTTCCTTAATATCTATTTGAGATGGGACATAACTGAATCTGGATTCACTGCAGTGAATCTAGATTCACTCATGCGTTTATTTCTTCAAAATTACAGCACATGCATTTATTTCTTCAACAATTCATTAAAAACCATCCTAACCATCCAAGCTTTCGCTGGAGTGAATCTGGATTCACTCCAGTGAATCTGGATTTACTCCAGTGAATCTGGATTATATTGAAGAATAAGAAATTTATGGTAAAAAACAAGCTATAAAATTTTAAACAAAAAGAATAAGAAACTTATGGTAAAAAACAAGCTATAAAATTTTAAACCATGAAAAGATTTCACCTTTTACAGCAAAAAATTAACAAACAACTCACATACTGATAATTCTAAGATTCATAGGTGAATGATAGATTCTAATGCAGTGAATTGATTAGTTATGTGTGTCTTCGTTTAACGGTTTCTTAAAAAAAAAAATTTTTCAGATAAAAGGGAATATTTTCACTTTTACAGATGTTGAAGACGAGGGAGTTGAGCGACTTGGGAGTGTGTTGACGGGGAAGCGGGAGTCTACGGTTCGGCTGTTGGCGTCGTCGGAGCGTCGGATGATGGCGACGGTGGCAAGGTAGGATCGGAGTCTGTTGTGTTGACTGGTAGAGAGAGGAAGAGAGATGCGTAAGTAAATGAGAGGATGAGAGAGAGAGGAACGGTGAGAGGAGTTGGTTTTTAGTGGTTCAGCTTTTGGGAAATAGATAGCAGTTTAAGATTACATCTCTTTAGTGGGCTGTTATTTTACCTTTATTACCTAGAGCTTTGAATCGTCAGCCATTGGATTGAGATCGTGATCAAAATGGAGATGAGAGTATTTTCATTTTAGGATAGTGAGGTTAGTATTTTGAATTCCCCTAAATATATATAAATATACTATGATAATTTATAATATTTATATACTACTATATATATATAGTATAGTGATATATATGAGTGGAGTAGAAAGTTGGTGACAAAGGTCTCTTGTCACTTAGTTGTAAGTTCAACTCTTCATCTCATCTCTTCGTCTAATAAGATATAGTACGTATACTGTATATATATATAATTATGTGTGGTAGTGTGTGTGTGTGTGTGTGTGTGTGTGTGTGGTGTGTGGTTGTATAGAGAGAGTAAGACTCCTATCAATTTAAGTTGATGTCCACCAAACTTCCTAGCCACTCATTTATTAATACTAGGTTTTATACACGTGCAATGCACGTGGTTAAATATCATGATTAAGTATTTTTAGATTATTTTTAACTAAAATTTGTTCCTCAGTTCCACTTTAATAACTAAATTTTAAAATTTTAGAATTTTTTATGATTTTTAAATTTTGAAAGAGTTTTTTCAATAACTTTTGAATCTTTGAGGTTAATTTCGGCAAATTTTAAATTTTTAGGTGCATAAGGATAATCTCTTTAATTCATCTTTTGTATTTGTAAATTTAAAATTTTTAAAATTTTGGGGTTGTTTTTTATAATTTAAACTTTTTGAGTGTGTTTCTATAATTTTTAGGACATTGAGGGTGTTAATTGAAAATTTTAAATTTTTGAGAGGCTGCTATTAATTTCTTGATTTCATGTTTGTTGTTTTAAGTTTTGAAATGTCAGAAATTTTCAGGTGCGTTATGGTAATCCCTTGAATTCATCTATGCTATTTTTAAGTTTTGAAATTTTAGAATTTTAGGTGCTTGTTTGTAATTTGAACTTTTGAGGGTGTTTCTACAATTTTTGAGATATTGAGATGTTAACTGTAATTTTTCAATTCTTCACAAACTACTGTTAATTTCTTAATTTCATGTTTGTTGTTTTAAGTTTTTAGACGTCGGGATAATTTTTATAATTTTGAACTTTTCAGGATATTTTGTGTAATTTTAGAACTTTTTAGGTTTTTTTGCAATACTTTATGTATTATAGTACGTTAGCTACGTACAATTTCTTTATCTTAACAAACTAATACCATGAAGATGTTTTATATATTTTATTAATATTATTTTTTAAATTGATAAGCTATAAATACTTCACATAGGATTAAGATAGGATATACTTATGATTATGATAGATTAAGATATAAATTAAATATTTAAAATAGTGAAGGGTAATATTGACCATAGAAAGATTTTTCCGAACTCGTGCTTTTAAAGGGATTAATATAAAAAACCTTTTCATATTATGCAAGGATCTCTAGACAATATGAGTGACTAGAAAGCTTGGTTATATATATATATATATATATGGAGAAATTTTTGAAATAGACCACATCACATATTTAATTACCAAAATCGATCTAGTTCAAAATTATTTATCAAAATCGTCATACTTTCAATCATGTCAGCATCGGTCATTGAAAGGGAGTTGATTATGGAAAAAACACAATTTTGTTAATGTACGGGATTGCTAATCTTGTGTAATTAACAAAGTTTACTAATTATATAGGATTGGGAATCTCGTGTATAATTTGAAGTTCAAATTAAACATGATTGCAGTGGTTAGCTAGGTTGTTTGCTTAAAGCGAGTTAGACTTCAAATAACTAATTTAGCTTGAGTTTGAATCTCGTCTTTGCCAACATTATTTTTATTTTTATTTATCGATTTAGAAGTAAAAGAAAAAATTAATTCATTACTTGGCTAAGATTCGAACTCATGCCTTTTCAACCCATAACTTATCACTTATTCTTTGAACCACTTTGCCAACTAACAATACAGCTAAAAGTTTCGGAGCAAAATATATATGGGATTGTAAATATAATATAATGAGTGAATTGCTAAGTGATTAGCGTAGGTCACTAATTACATAGGATTTCCAATCCCATAGACTTTCAAAACTAGTTTTTTTTCCCAAAATCGACCGACTTTCAGCGCTCTACACTAACATGGCTAAAAATAGGTTGATTTTGAAAAATAAAATTGAAGTATGTTGATTTTGGTATTAAATTTATAATTCGGTGTGCTCGCGTGCGCGTGTATAATTAGAGGTGCTCATTTAAACATAGTTACTACTTGATTACACACCTATTAAACGGGTGGATGATTCAGTACCAACCATCAAATTTGATGCTTGGTAGTGATGTGTTAACTTCTCATCCACTCATTTAATAGGTGGGTAATCAAATGGGGACTATTTTTAAATAGATCCCTTTAAATGGGTGGATGAGAAGCATCCACGTCACTACCGATCACTAATTTTGTGCTTGTATCCCGGATACTCATCTTCTTAAATGTAATATATAATATATATATATAATATATCATATATATATATATATATATAATAATATTATATATATATATAATATATAATATATATAAAAGGTCGCCCAGTCTCTTTGGAAATGAGTTGATGAGAATGAGTCACCTCACTACCATGAACCAAAATTAGTCCTTCATATGTGTGCGTGCATTATATACATACATGCATACATATACATATATGTATGTATGTATGTCCGTCCGTTCGTCCATCCTTGGTATCCTGCCTTCTACAAATTGAACGTGTCCTAAGATTCATCAACTGAAAACAAGAAATAGGAATACAAGATATGCATGATAGGTTTTTTTAAATAGAAATATGTAGTGGCGTTTCACATGCCCTTTGAAAAGCCACCTTGTATTATTATATTAGACATGATTAAGGAGCTTGATTCTATTTCGATAATGAGGAGGACATTTATATTTTTGTTCATATTCTACATTAAATGATAGATTTTTTGTACTTCCTTGGTTGACTCTCAAAGCTCTTTTCGCTATAATTTTGTCCGTGTATACAAATATGTCTATTATGCAGAAGTATTCCAGGTGACCATTTGTATAATCTTCCTTGTTTGACTCTAATATACCTGATATGTAGATACTACATCAACATACTAAGTAGGTATTTTTTTTGCAAATACTACAAACTTGGTAGTAATGGTCAATAGAGAAGCAAATCTGCCTTGGGATCTCTTCACCATTTGTTGACCTCTAGCGATGAGTCCGAACCACCTCAGACCTGTCTGCATGCGAGCAGGCGGTCCTACACTGCAAATGGGAAATATAGAAAGGGAATCCCCATGTGCATCTTAGAACCGCCTGCTCTCATGCGGGTGGTTCTGAGGTGATCCCTATTCACTAGTTATTCTATCATGGGTGGATCTATATTGCACAGAGTGTGGGCGCTCCCCATGTTGAATATTTTAAAAGTTAATGGTCTCTAGGGACTGTGTCTAGGTTGTAAGAAACTTGTGGCTGATCTGGGCAGTGAACATACCGCCTAGTCCCTAGCTGCTTATGTGCTCAAGTGTTTTCTCCTTTCTAGTTCTTAAGTTGTATATAAACGGAAAGTACCCCAAAACCCATAAAGTTTAGAAAAATCAGGAAAAATATTGAAAACTTAGGAATACTCTTACTCTAGGAATAAACAAAGTTAGCAGAGAATTTTGCATTTTTAACGACTATAACAATGAAGAGGAGAAAAACAAGGAGGAATTGCAGCAATGCTAATGACGTGTAGCAGCAGCAGCAGCAGAAGGGAAAAAGTCTGCAATGACACTTCTTTGTATCACTAAACTGGGAAAAGGGGATTTCCTGCATAAACTAAGAGGATACCCTCTGGCATCGTAGTACCTTACAGTTTATGTAGTTGGTTTAATAGTTCAATTGACCTGAAATAAATTGAGTACTGGACTTGGTTAAAATAAATAAAAATCATATTTATTCATGTAATTGGCATTTGGTTGCATAAACTGTATAGGTCATATGGCTTGTCGCATGATGGTTGTGCAAACTTACTCAACGTGGTTGTGACCTGCATATATTTATGCAGTTTTCTTTTGTGGATTCATAAATCACCTGCGTATATTTATGCAGTTTTCTTTTGTGGATTCATAAATCTTGTTTTCCATTAACTCATTGTAGTTCCTGGTATCTTTCTATGCTTTTTTTCATCTGTATCTTAACTTGAAAATTCAAAATCATCATTGATTGAGTTTACAGTGATTCATAAACATTTGTAAACATTATATTTGAAATGTTTTCTGCTTCGTTTTCTTCTGTATCTTAACATGAAAAGTTGAAATCAATGTCGATTGAGTTTACAATAATTTGTAAACACCATATTCCAAACGATCTCATCATTCTGACTGCAACGTCTTTACCACATGCCAAGGGGCTTCCCTATATGTCCTTGTCAACTTAGTATAAGAAAGTATTATTTTACAGTTAAACCTTGTCTCATTAAATTCTTATGAACTCTTTATCTTGTTATCCAGCTTATGTTGGTCTTGCTACTATTGTGGGGTTTGTCTGGTGGTTTGTTTATTCTGATGCCGGTCCCAGACTTCCGTATAAAGAGTTGGTAAGTTTGTCTTTCAGGTTTGTTTTTGTTTAAATTTTAATTTATATGTACAATAATATTTAATGTAGAATTGGCGAAGTTTATTTTAGCTCTGGTACTCTTAGAAACAATACCAAGTTTCATTACTACTCGTGATCTCAGCTCTATGCGTCATATGTTTGATGCACACAATACCAAGTTTCATTACTACTCGTGATCTCAGCTCTATGCGTCATATGTTTGATGCACATTATAAAAATATCACTTCACATTTCAGACTGATTCATATGTTTGATGCACATTATAAAAATATCACTTCACATTTCAGACTGACGTACATACATTAATTAAGCACATCAAATAGATGAAATAATCACAGCAGCATTTAGAAATGTTCCATCTTATCGTTTCCGTGATCATCTTCTGTTTGTTACCATTACTGTGGCCTAACTCTTGCTTAACAATATGTAGTAAATAAATTGTTTTTATATTTTCAGGTACTGTTTTTCATAGTTACTGTGTGCAACATGCCTTAAGTCATGAATTGCTATCTCCTCTAAATGTTTCTTAGTGCAGTATTGATGTTCTGCCTTTCATAGAGGCAAAACTAGAATTGACTTCCCTGAAGCACCTAGTAAACTAACGGAGGCAAAACGAGAATTTTGACTTCCCTGAAGCACCTAGTAAACTAACGGCTTTGACTTTTCTTTCAAGAAATCATAAACAGGGATGCATTGTAGTGTTGTGTTATTCTTCTTGCCTTCCATTTTATTGCTTCTAATCTATTTCTATTTGTATTCTCGGTGACATGTTTCAATTACCTTAATATCTATTCTGCTTATAATGTCCTTTTTCTTTTGATACTCGTTTGATGATTTTGGCTTCCTTTCTTCTCACAAACATGATCATAACTTTCTTTTCTTTTCCTTTTTATTTTTTATTTATTTTTTCTAATTTTCATACTTAGGCCTGATCTTATTCTAATCATCTCACATAATATTTGTTCTATGTATTGATTGTCTCAGGTTAACTTTGATACTTGTTCAACAAGGGATACGGCATATCCATGCAGTATATTTGATGATCGGCATCCATCCACCGTGTCAATGACTGTGCTCGTGGTTGTGGAAATGTTCAATGCGTTAAATAACCTAAGTGAAAATCAGTCACTTCTGTAAGTCAATTAGTTTTGGAGTCTCAGTTTCATTGTCATGATCTATGTTCTCCGCATCTAAACCAGCTAATCCATAAGTTCATATAGTTTAGATTGTATGGAAAATTCTGGCTAGAGCCACTAGATACTAAACCTTTTTTCAGATTTTCATTTTATGTAGGTTGTAGGATTACAACCTCCCTCTGTAAATTATTCTCTTACAGGATGATTTGACAGAGGTGTTTTCTAATCTCATTCTAGACAAGCAATTTAGCTTTTAACATCTTGCCTTTATAAAATACTTTAAACATGTATCAGATATATGGTATCCTAATTTTGTGGTGGTTGCAAGCAGATATGATTATAACGTAATACTTCTGTGAAAATAATGTTGTCCATGGAAGTTGAAAATCTGTACCATTTATCTTGATCTATGACTTAGTCATAGGCTCATAGCATACCTCTTTATGGAAAGGCTTATAGCATACTTCCATATGACTTAGTTATAGGCCTTTAGCATACTTGGATGCTTTGTAACCTTTAATTATATCTGATATTATTTGCTTCCTGCAATTGTTTGTAAGCATCCTAAAGAACATTTGATGACCATATTGGTAATTATATTTATGTGCTTAGTGATACGAGTCGCCGTGCGAGCACCTTTGATCGCGGAACTATCAAAAATGTCTTCGTGAAGAAAATAGCAAACCACAAGAACGATCCAATATAGCGAAAGAAAATACCTTCTCTAGATTATGAAGAATAATAGATTACAAATCTCTTCCCTCACAACCTCTCTAGAATAAAGAACAACCTCTCTATTCTCTCTGAACTCAGATTTCCAACCATGAATCCACTCTCAATAGGGTTTAGTTATACACAAACCTTAAAAACCGAAGCAGACTAGGAATCATGTTCGGTCCAGACCCACTATCGGTCGACTGATGATGGTTCCATCATCAGTCTTAGTCAACTGATAGGTCCTCATTAGTCGACTGATGAACAATCATCAGTCGACTGTCCAGAGTGAATTTCCAACACCCTGTAGAGTGCATGTTATTAGTCGACTGATATTGTCATCAGTCGACCGACCAGTAGCCTCCCTCGACCGACCAGAAGCCTCCCGTAACGCAGTTTCTGGCTATTGAATCGGTTGACTGATGACCCTCTATCGGTCGACCGATGATCCTGTTCCTGCTATGCATGTTTTCAACCATGCTTCTATTCTCAAGCTCCCATTAGAATTATCTATCATTAAGCTCCTATGAGGATAGCTAAGTTCCCAAAGCAGAGAAGATACACCCGTATCATGGCTCTCCCCTTTAGGAATTTGAAGTCACGTTCAAGTTAGAATTTCAGCTGAGGAAACTCTCAAGCTCCTCTTTCTTTGTTAAACCACTTGGCTTTGTAAGGAACCTGATCTTGACTTCCAATCAGAAACGATTTTTTCATCTAGTCATAGTCACAGTCCACTCTAATATGTAATCCTCTTTTAGTGGCTCCTCTCTATCAAACCACAAGTCTTCAACATGCAACAAGATCACTTTGTCGTCACCCTCATCGTCCAGCAATGGAGGTTCGAATAACTTCAAGTACTCAGCATTAATCACTGAATACATGCCTAAGTAAGGTGACAAATCCAGCTTGAAGACGTTGTCACCGATCTAATCAAGAATCCGAAACGGATCATATCATAAAGGCTTCAACTTCTTTCCTTTTCCCTTTAGTCGCTCTTTTCCTAACTTCAGCCATATCATGTCACCTTTGTCGAAATTACAAGGAACTCGATGTCGATCATGTTTTGCCTTGTACATCGCATGTGACTTCTTCAACTGTGCTTCAACTGCGTCGTGAATCTGTGCATTCTTCTTTAGAAATCGTTGAGCCTTCTGTCTTTCGCTCCCTTTACCGTCAGCCATAGTATCACTAGAGAACACTAAATCGAACGGACTTGAAGGTAAAAACTCGTAATAAGTCTCAAACGGTGACTTTCCTGAAGATCTGTGAACAGCCCTGTTGAAAGCAAACTAAAGATATGGTAAGCTCTCATCCCAAATCTTAAGATCTCTGAAATTATACTCCCGTAGCATGTGAACCATAGTCCGGTTGACTACTTTCGTCGGCTCATCTGTCTGTGGATGGAAGGTTGTGCTTTTCTTCAATCTGGTATCCATCAAACCTACAAAGAATCCCAAAAGTACCTAAGGAACCTGTTATTCTGATCTAAAATAATCGAACTCGACAAGCTAAAGTGCTTATATACATGCTCAAAGAACTGCGCTGCATCCGCTCCCATCATTATCTTCTTGCAATGTTCAAGATCATCATCTTGCTGAACCTGTTCACCACAACAAATAAGTAATCATGCCCGCGCTTGATTATTGGCAACCCTCCTAGAAAATCTATAGAGATACTCTCTCACGGTCTAGAAGGTACTGGTAACGGTAGATACAATCCCCGCTTTCCGTTAGAAGGTTTTGATGTGTAACATAGCTTATAGCCTCCAACATACTTGGTAACATCTTTGGCTAAAAGACATGACGTTGAAGATTGAGATGCGTCTTTTGAATCCCAAAATGACCTTGCACACGTGATGTATGTGCCTCTCTAATCCACTGTTATCGATCGTCATCATCCGGAATGCAAAGATGTTCTACGATACAACAAACCATCTGCTCCAAGCTCATACTCCCCCTTCCGACCTGCCTTCACTTGCTCGAACACATTGCTGAAGTCTTTGCTGGATGTGTACATCTGTGCATACTCCAAAGGAACCAATGGTTGAATACACGTCGCCACCAACAAAGCTCTCACTTGCGGTCGAGATAGCATATCGGCTAACTTGTTAGTCGTTCCCTTCTTGTACCTAATAATGTTGAACATCCACTTCACGTGTCGTGCCTGTTATAGCCTCATCTGGGCATATAGATACTCCAACGACTTGTGATCCGAGTGCATAACCACCTCCTTACCCAATATGTACACCCTCTAACGTTTGATCGTCTGGTAGAACGCATATCGTAAGTTGAATAGTTCTGAATAGCACATGTAAACATCTCAGAATGGTACTCCACCGGCTTCTTGTCCTACGTCAACATGGCGTCCATAGCATAGTTAAAAGCGTTTGTCTCTACCTCGAAGGTCATCTGCTAATTAGGCAACGCCAACACTGGTGCCTCTGAGATCTTCCTCTTCAGTAACTGAAAAACCTCCTGAGTGTAACCACACTCGAACTGAACTTTCGCCTTAGTGATGCCATGTAAGGGTGCCGCATAAGTAGAAAAGTATCGAATAAATTTGCGCAAATATTGGCAAGCCCCATGAAGCTTCTCACCTCTGTTATCGTCCTAAGCATCGGCTATCTCGTCATAACCGTAACCTTGCTTGGATCTATCCTCCGCTAGTCCTTCTCCACGATGAAACCGAGATACTCCAACTCGTCCCTCCCTAACTCACACTTCTTCACATTGAGCTTCAGCTGACCGTCCCACAACACTTCAAACACTTTCTCGACATGAATAAGATGCTCCTCTCAAGTTCTGTTGTACACCAAGATATCATCGAGGTAAACTATCACAAAATCCTCTATAAAATATCACAGCAAATCATTCATCAGCCTCATAATGGTCGTCAGAGCGTTGCACAACCCAAACGGCATCACCAACCACTCCAACAAGCCTTGCTTGGTTTTGAACGATGTCTTCCAAGTGTCGTCCTCCTGAATCCTCACCTGATGGTAACCAGACATAATATTCAACTTTGTGAAGAACCTCGCTCCCTCTATCTAGTCCATAAAATCATCGATCATCGGTAGTAGGTAACGATTCTTGATCGTTATCTTGTTAAGCGCCCGGTAATCCACACACATACGCCAGCCTCCATTCTTCTTGGGCACCAATAGCACTGGTGACCCATAAGACGAACAACTCAGCACTATCACTTCCTTCTCCAGAAGTTCTTGAACTTATCTCTTTATCTCCTCGAACTCCTGTACAGGTGTGCGGTAAAGACTTATATTTGGCAAGGAACTCTCTCCTGTCAGCATAATCTCATGCTCTACACTACGTCTTGGGGGGAGTCCAGTGATCTCCGAAAATAAGTCTGTATATTTAGTCTAACCTGTCAAGATTTTCCTCCTGGAGTTTGCTCAAAGTAGTCAAGCATACTCTACTTAGCTGCTCCTCATAAGGCCTAATGAACAGCAGGACAAACTTTTTCTTTGCATTCACTAGCCTCTTCGCTTGAGTCACCGTCACCAAGCTTGTTTTCTGTGGAAGAGACGCAGAACGAAAAACGAACTGTAGTGAACGTATACTTTTGGCCCACCTGTCGTAGACTGCGTACCTATCCCATAGATAGGGATTGTGTACCTATCCCACAGATAGGGATTGCGTACCTATCCCACAGATAGAGATTGTCAAATATTACCTGACAAACATCCAATAAAACTACGTCGCAAGTGACCTCGTCAATATACGACTCATGGAGTGCAAACCTGAAAGTGTATTGATTAACTACACTCAGTCCTGTTTCCTTCTGAATCCACCTTAATGGATAGGGATTTGGATGTCTGATCGTCTTCAGACCTAGCTTCTGAACCAAGACCTTGAATATCAGATTCTTTTGGCTGCTTGGATCAACTATGGTATCTATCAAATTGGTCTTCACTTGCAACTTGACAACAAAGAGTTACTCTCTGGGGTCTTCGTCCTCCCTCGTGGTCTGCTGCCTTGACATAAGATTAAGACTGCTGTTGGGCTTCGTCATACCTGGGATTTTTTTGGACGTTATGCTATCACGTTTGCCTTTTTCTCCTTCTCCTTCAACCCATTCGGCTTGAGATGATGATACTTCTTCCAGCACCGATCAGCGACATGCCCTGTCTGCTTGCAATGACTACAAGTCAAACCTGTTGTCTCAGGCTCACCCTTCTTCTCCTCCTCCTTAGGTTAGGAACCACTAGACTTGCCTCTAGCCTGCTTTGCATCTCCCTTCGTCTCATTGCTCTTCTTCTGTTTGCTCTAAATGGCAATAGCCTTCACGCTAGCCTCCGTAATTGACTCAATCATGAGTAGCTTCATCTCCTTCCGGATGTGTTCATTCAAGCTCGCCATATACTTCATAAAAACAGAGTACTCCTTTGTCACGATATTTAGGACCATAGCTTGTTGCTGAAACTCTGTAGTATATTCGTGAACGGTTTGATTGAATCTTTGGTGCAAGCCGTACCACTTGTACCAACGCTCTTTAAGAAATCCCACTGGGTAAAATTGCTTCCTAAGAAGGTCTTTGAACCTTCTCTACGACACAGATTTCTTCTCTTGCTTGCAGTAGAATTTTTATCACGTCAGCGCATGCCCGGAAAGCTTAAGAGTCGCAAAAACGATCTTCTCCTTAGACGAATAGCCATAAAGAGTAAAGTAGGTTTCCATACGCTCGATCCAGTCGTCTAGCCTCTCAACGTCGACACTCTCATCATAAACAGGAATCTCCACTCTGAAGTCAATATTTAAATTCTGGTAAGAGCCTTTTCCTCCTTGATGTGGAACAGTCTTGATGGCTTCGTCCTCTTCAAAATCTACCTCCTCACTGTCTCCATCAGATTCTGTAGGTTGCGTCTTTGGCCCCGTCGTAGATTCAATCTTCTTGTCGCCTCCGTAGATGAGATCGACGAGCTTTGTGAGAGTTAAACTGATTGTCTCGATCTGCTTCTCCACCGCATCAAGTCTTGATGGATTGTCGCTATCTGCCATCTTCTTCTTTTTTTGATTTTTGGACTTCTTCCAAAGAAATAGGAATCTCGCCTAGCTTCTTGTATTGTGATCGAGTAAGGATCATACACATGATACGCTCTTCATAGGATCTGATTGCTCTGATACCAACTTGATACGAGTGGTCATGCGAGTACCTTTGATCGCGAAACTATCAAAGATGTCTTTGTGAAGAAAATAGGAAACCATAAGAACAATTCAATATGGCGAAGGAAAATACCTTTCCTAGATTATGAAGAACAATAAATTACAAATCTCTTCCCTCACAACCTCTCTAGAATAAAGAACTTCCTCTTTATTCTCTCTAAACTTAGATTTCCAACCAGGAATCCACTCTCAATAGGGTTTAGTTATATACAAACCCTAAAAACCGAAACATGCTAGGAATCAGGTTCAGCCCATACCTGCTATCGGTCGACTGGTGATGGTTCATCTGTCGACTGATAGGTCCTCATCGGTCGACTGATGAACAATCATCAGTCGACTGTCCAGAGCGAATTTCCAGCACCCTGTAGAGTGCATGTTATTGGTCGACTGATACTATTTATCAATTGACTGACCAGAAGCCTCCCTGTAACACAGTTTTTGGTGATTGAATCGGTCGACTGATGACCCTCTATCAGTTGACCGATGGTCATGTTCTTGCTATGCATGTTTTCAACCATGCTTCTATTCTCAAGCTCCCATGAGAATTATCTATCATCAAGCTCCTAGGAGGATCGCTATACACCCGTATCACTTAGACATCAGAATGGCTTCATGAACTTGAGGCTCTAGTGGACCTTTGTGATCTTGAGGCTGTATTGGACCATTTCCATTGCTGTGCCTTGGTGATCCTGAGGCTGTATTGGACCATTTCCATTGTCGTGCCTTGGTGGATGGCCTATTTGTGGATGGCCTATTTTTATTATGAAGAAATGGTGATAATTATGTTGTAACTTGTGACATTATTCTCACTAACAGTATGTGTTTTTTGATCTATTGGCATGTTTTTGCTTACCCCACAGTCACTGGGAATATCACTGCCAATAAGCTAGTAATTCAATTTATTTGGAAAAGATGTTAGTTATTCTTTTTCCATAAGAAAAAATTATATTGAAAAATTGACCAGCTATTTTCACTCAAAAAAAAATTCACTAGCTATCGTTATGTTTTCCAGGGTTATACCTCCTTGGAGTAATCTTTGGCTTGTGGGGTCAATTGTGCTGACTATGCTCCTCCATGTACTAATTTTGTATATTGAACCTCTATCCGTACTTTTCTCTGTAAGTCCATGTTTCATTTCCAAATTTCCCCCCTTGATCTGATTACTGAAAAGAACTTACGATATAAAAACAAGAAAACTGTTTGAACTGACTTATCCTTTGTCTTTCAGGTGACTCCATTAACTTGGGCTGATTGGAGGGTTGTCTTATATCTGTCCATTCCTGTTAGTATTTAATTCTTTCCAAAATCTGCTTTGATTTTTATTATTTAATTTTTTGAGGTTAAGAGTAGATTATTTACGCCTATTGTTGGTTAGCTGGTCATAGTTTTTTCCCTCCTTTTTTACACTTGGACAGGTGATGGTAAAAACCTAACCATTTTGGACCTATTTCATTTATAAGCTGATGGAAACATGTATATTGATGTGGATATATGCATAATATATGCAATACGTCTGTTAGGTATCAGTGCTGTGAGTAATACTGGCATTCTATTTCCTGTGACTTTGGTTCACATATGTGAGCCACACTCACCTCTATTTAGTAACTCAATAATCCGGATTTCTTAGAGCATTCACCTCATTCGTCAGGGCTTGTTGTGACACCCTCAGCTGTACACTGGTTGATAGGGAAAAATTCCCTTGGGATGTTCCTGTTGCAGATGGCAGTAAATAAACTCGAAACCAAAAACTGGGGAATGTTTGGACACCAGTGTGTTTTTTTGGTTTCCATTTCTTTTTTCTTTTAAATAATGAAACATGTTTGGGAACTGGGGTGTTTTTTTGGGCAACCCCTTTACAAATCTTAAAATATACACGATTTTCTCAAAACACCTTTTTGAGATCCCCGTTTAATTTCTCCCCAAACCAACGCGATCCCATTTTCTCCCCCTCAACCCTTGAAGTCGTCCCCGCCGCCACTTCGATTCGCCGCCTCGTCGTCGCCGCTGCCGCCTCCACGTCTGGCAGTAAATAAACTCGAAACCAAAAACTGGGGAATGTTTGGACACCAGTGTGTTTTTTTGGTTTCCATTTCTTTTTTCTTTTAAATAATGAAACATGTTTGGGAACTGGAGTGTTTTTTTGGGCAACCCCTTTACAAATCTTAAAATATACACGATTTTCTCAAAACACCTTTTTGAGATCCCCGTTTAATTTCTCCCCAAACCAACGCGATCCCATTTTCTCCCCCTCAACCCTTGAAGTCGTCCCCGCCGCCACTTCGATTCGTCGCCTCGTCGTCGCCGTGCCGCCTCGCCATCGCCGCTGCCACCTCGTCGTCGACAAGTCTGAACCCAGGTTAGATCGCCGCCGCATCTCGTGACCATGCCGTCTCTGTGTCCCCCTAGTGTCGTCCCCGTCGCCGTCGATGCTTGTCCTGCTATGGAACCCATCTGTTGAGGGAATGAGGATTTTCCAAGTTGGTCCAGCCAATTTTGAGGCAAAACTCCAGCCTCGTCTACTTTGGATCCTTGATCAGGTGAGGATTTTGCTTTTCCTGTTCTGTGAAGAAGCAAGGATCTAAGTTTCTTTCTCATTTGTGATAATTGATTACACTAATTGAAACCCTTCATCACGGGAGCATATGTGATATGAAGGAAATTATTGCAAATATGACTAAGCATCTGAAATAAAATTAGAAATCCACTCTGTGCAAGGTGTCAATTACAAGTTCTTTTTTGTCAAGTTGTAGTATTACAATAGTTCTCTTAATCTTGGTTTTCCAGTGGACACCAGAACCATATGTTAGACATTTGATATTTACTCTAGAATTATATCTTGTTTGTGTCTAATGTCTATTCTTCATCCTTTTTCCATTTTGAAAACTTTTACAATGGTGTTTTCAAACACTTTAGGAGAAAAAACACAACACCAGTTTGTTTGTTTTTTTTTTTTTTTTTTGGAAAAACACTACAAAAACAAACACATTGGAATAAAGAAGCAGATTCATTTGCCATCTTAACCAGTCTATTGGTTAGAAAAGTATATTAAACTCAAGTCCATGAGCTCCCGGAAACAGATGCCTTGGTCATCTTATGTACGCTGTTTGGTAGGAAAGCATATTAGTTTCAAATCAAAGACTCAGGAAACTGTTCTTGTCCATTTCAGAGTTTTGCTCTGTATCGTAATGTGAGGGACACATGAAATTGAAATTTTCTCAAAAACATCAACATTTAAAGATGTTGTATGATTGTATCCTGCTTCCTTTGGGTTATGAGTCTTTAAGTTGTGCCCAGGTATTGAAGCTGATTTCTGAGGTGCATGTTTTGAAGAAGGCTTGCATTTGAAATTCACATACCACTATTATTTTGTATCCGCATCAACTACATTGTAACTAATCCTTTTCGTGCAATAAGATATCATGCGAAAAATGTGTTATGAATCTTTCCTGGTCAGAGTGCGTAATTCATGATAGACTTTGGTGATGTGTAGTCTCTAGAATCTCTTGTTCACATTTTTTAATACACATTCTGTATTTCCACGACATTCATTATTCATAGTATTTGCATCATGTGTATAATTTCTTTAGCTTTATCTCTCGCTGTCTTTTTATTTTGTTTCATTTACTGTGAATTTTATTTTTTTTATAGGTTATAATAATTGATGAGATACTTAAGTTCTTTTCAAGAAAGCCTGGAGGTATTCTTCTTTTTTATTATTCTTCTATCAAAATTTTGCATCAAGCCTGCAAGTGTTTCTTTATATACTTGGGCACTTTTGCCAGTTATGTGCAACTTTGTTCTCACACTGTTCTAAGAAAAATAAATAAATAAATACCATGCTGATGTTATTTGCAAACTAAGCTGTAGTTAATGTCGATATCTCACTTTTCCAAATTCTTTACAAGGGCCATGGTTATACTAAGAAAAATAAATAAATAAATACCATGCTGATGTTATTTGCAAACTAAGCTGTGGTTAATGTCGATATCTCACTTTTCCAAATTCTTTACAAGGGCCATGGTTATACTACATGATGTCTATGAAACATCTTATATGTTTTCCCAAAAAAAGAAAAAGAAAAAGAAACATCCTATATATTCACTTTCCTGGGAAGTGAATCTTTTCCGGTGCACCCATCAATTGTTTGACTGAATAATAGTTACAAACATACGTGTAAGATCTGTACTTATATTTTGTTCCATTACCTCCATACCTCCCAAATATTTAATGCATAATCTCCCTTCTTTCAACATTTCTTGTCTACTTAAAAAGAAGAGGTATTTTGGTTTCTTGCAGGTAAAAGGTTCAACTTTAGATTCAGAAGACATGATTCGAATATTTAATGCACAATCTCCCTTCTTTTCAACATTTCTTGTCTACTTAAAAAAAAGATCTATTTTGGTTTCTTGTAGGTAAAAGGTTCAACTTTAGATTCAGAAGACATGATTTGCTCCCAAAAGAAGCTCGGGACAAGTAAATTACTGCCACATCTCGGCAAGTTTTTGACCTTAGTAGGCTCCACGAGTCAAGGTTGATACAATCTTCGACGAGAGAGAGCTGAGCTTTGTGAAAGAGCTGTAGTGGAAATCTGGTTGTATACCCCACTGTATTGTGTAGGCAAGGATAACATTTAATTTAGAGAACGTTTGTTTGTAATCCATATATTGGGTAGCTAATAATGTAGCATCCAGTTTTTTCACAGTAACACTTTTTTTATTTAATGAAAGATCCAAAAATGTATTCATTTGTAAAATATGAAGCTCTTGTACTTGTATAAAAAGGGGCTTGTCAGAAAATGATGTCAATTTTTATTAGCAATTTTATACCAAGAACTTTCATAAGTTTAATGCACATCAAAGTCATGTTACAGACTGCTATTGAGAAGAAATCACTGGTGATCTTAGACGTGTATTTGTGTACTTTTGATTTTATAATAGTATGTAGAGATAGAGGATTCAATGACTATTAGAAAGCATTGGAAGTCTTACTCAGTTGATCACTGTGTTTGACTACCTGTTAGGGTTAATTTCAAAAATCCTCTCTGAACTTTGGGGCTTTTGGTTGTTGCAGATAATATGCTTGACTTTTTTGACTTAAGAACATTTTCCTAAACTTTCTGTATGTTGCAGGTGATCAAACTGGATTTTTTTTTTTTATTTTTTGGAAGATAGGTCCTAGTTTGGGCATTATGTAAAACTAGTGTTTGCCCCGTGCGAAGTACGGACTTTTCTTTTTTATCGCTACAATAATCCCTTATTAATTGCTACAGTTTTTTGAAATGCTACAGTAATATTTTTAAAAATGCTGCAGCATATGCTACAGTACTATTTTTGAAAATGCTACAGGTATAATGCTATAACAAATTAGTGTAACATTTACTGTAGTATGAATAGTGATTCTTGGATCCTCTCAGGAATAGATTTACTCTTTTCTAATATCACTGTTTTCTTAAACAAATAAAATTCAGTCCCATCTTAATCATGTTGTTCTTAATAAAGAACAAATAAACTGGTCTAGTGGGGAAGTTCGGATGATATTTGCTTCAGTTGAGGTGTAATGTTAATGCTATTATTGCATATTGACTAGTTATTATGGCTGGTAATCTGACAAAGGAATCCTTCCGCCATCTATTGTTGATTAATACTTTAGCAGCGAAGGAAATTGAATTAGCTTGGAAAGCTTGTAAGGGCTAAAAAGCAAGCTAAGATTTCCAGATTCTTATTGCAATCGATCTGCTCATTCTAGTGACTTGGCTCCAGAATGTATGCCCATGCTTTTCGTCTGAGACTATGGCTCTGTTTGGCAAAACTAGCTGAAAGCTGCGAGATTATAGCTGAAAGCTGTTAAGCTAGCTGAAAGCTGTGAAATTGTAGCTGAAAGCTGATAGCTGTGTAACTAGCTAATTGACTAGACCTGTTTGGCAAAAGTAGCTGTACAGCTAGCTTAAATTTGTTAAATGACTAAAAAGGACATGCAATATTATTAATATAAATCTAGAATTATTACGGGCAAAAACAGAAGAAAAAAATTGGCATCTCCTTCCCAAAGACAAATACTACTTGAGGTAGCTTTCCAAAAGCTACTTGTAAAAGACACAATCTTCAAAATAATCTCCTCTTATTTTTGGTCACCAAACAGCTCTACTAGCTTATTGACCAAGTCAATAAGACACAATCTCTTAGATAAGACACAATCTCTTGTTGCCAAACAGTGCCTATACCTACAAACATATTCTGCGAATGGAAAAGCAAGATATCCCCTCTATCAAGTTGTGCAACATAGGTGCTTAGTGTGTAAAATCCCTGCTAGTGTTACTGAGAATTAAGAAGGGGCGTACAACGTAAGTGCATTCTTCGAAGTTGCTGTCCATGAATCTGATTTTATGTTCCTGTCCGTTAATTGACTTTTTTTTTATGTTCGCATCCTTTGGATTGGTGTATTTCAAGCACAAGTATCTATCTATATTGAAGTTATTTCTACGTAAACAGATGGCACCAAATACTAAAGCTGCATCCGTCGAAGTTGCTCAGGTTGAGGCAGCACAGCCCAAGACCTCGAAGAAGAAGAAGAAGAAGAAGAATAAGAAAGAGAGGAGCTCAGAGTATGCCAGAAGAAGTGAGGCCTCTTCAAGAAACAATGGAGATCCTTTCTAGTTTATGAAATACCGGTAACAACCGAGCATGCCCTGAAGGAGCTTGAAACTAACAACACGCTCGTTTTTGTGGTTGACAAGTGAGCAGACGACAAGAAGATCAGATCAGCAGTGGAGAAATTGTTTTGCATCCAATCAAAGAAGGCTCATGTTATTTGCAGGAGTGGTGTCTCGAAGATATTTGATTATGACTAAATTTTGTTAAGCCATATGGTGTGTCAATATTTTTTTGTTAAGGGACAGGAATAAGGGATGCGATCTCTTCATCTTGAAGTTTAGTTTTGGTTTCTCTCGTCTCTGTTTTCTCCGTGCGGTTGTTATCTTGTGCATTGTGAGTATACAAGTAGTGATCCAGCGACTGTCAAATCAGAAAATAGAGGAACTTAAAAGTGAATACGCGCATATAGCAAACGGCAACTTGTGAAAACTTTCATCTGCTTTTGAATGAATAGAACTTGTAAAAGTCCATGCCTGAATTATTAGCAAAATGAATTAATCTTTGACACACGTATATAGTAAACCTCTCTGTTATAAGATAATGGAAACCTTAGTGATTTAATGTTAGTTAGGGGATTCTGTAGAATTAAATGGACGGATGCAAACTTAAGTTGAGATGCATTTGAAGAGAAAGATTTACTGAAAGAGAAGTTATTGTTTTGAAGAACCATCTCAATGTCGATTATTGAAGATCTGATCATAGAACGGGGGAAATTGATTTCTTTGAGTAAGAGGTTGGAATTTAACTGATAACCGACTTTCCTTGGTTGATTTTAATTAAGGAGTAAATATCAAAGGGCTTCAGTGTTAGCCGCAATTCCTGACTCACAGCCGTAACTTTTTGAAAGAATGAAAAAGAATGGGCCCCGTCATCACTTTCGGTGCAGAAAGCAGCAGTAAGGTTTGAAATGAGAAATGCACAATGACAATATTAATATAATATTACTGCATAGTATTTTTTTCAAACACTATAAATAGGCCTCAAACTCTTAAGAAAAAATCAACCCATAAACAACTTCACAATATAGAAGAGTGAGAGAGAAAAAATAGAGAGAGTTTCTTTTTGTAAAGAGTGATTGTAAACTCCAAAGTTTCTCCTCATAGTGGATTCTTTCTATCTTTGCTCGTGTTTTTTACCCTAAATTTATTAGGGGTTTTCCACGTAAATCTGTGTTCATCTTTTTATTACTTTCACTCTACTATTGTTGTGACATTGCTCTATTAGGCCCCGGGTTTGTCCCAACAAGTAGTATCAGAGCCTGTATTAGGGTGAATATATCTAATTATCGTATGTTCTGTGACTGCCACCAAATGTGGATCCTCCACATCAGAAAATAAGTTAGATTATCATTTACCCTTTGAAGGTGACAGGTATTATTCACGAGTACAACATTGTTCATAAATATGGTATTATTCATAAGTACGGTATTATTCACGGATACAGTTACTGTTCATAAATACAGTTATTGTTTACGTGAAATAGTAAAAAGTTGTTGTTCGTGGTAGAAGCAATGACAGCGAAGTTTGAGATCGAGAAATTCAACGGGAGTAATTTTTCACTATGGAAGTTGAAGATAAAGGCTATCTTGAGAAAACATAATTGCCTAGCGGCCATCGGTGCAGGCGAGATGACATCACAGATGACAAGAAGTGGAACAAGATGGACGGAAATGCTATTGCAAATCTTCATCTGGCATTAGCAGACGGGGTGTTGTCAAGCATAGAGGAGAAGAAGACAGCAAATGAGATCTGTGATACTCTAACAAAGCTATATGAGGCAAAATCACTGAACAACAAAATCTTCTTAAAAAGGAGACTTTACACGCTGAGGATAGCGGAATCTACATCGATGACCAACCACATCAACACCCTAAACACATTGTTCTCCCAGCTCACAATGTTGGGGCATACAATTGGTGTGAATGAACGTGCAGAACTTTTACTTCAGAGTCTACCTAACTCGTATGATCAGCTCATCATCAACCTAACAAACAACGTCCTCACGGACAATCAAGTTTTCGACAATGTTACAGCTGCTATTCTGGAGGGAGAACACCCTAAACACTGAGGATAGCGGAATCTACATCGATGACCAACCACATCAACACCCTAAATACATTGTTCTCCCAACTCACAACGTTAGGGCATACAATTGGTGTGAATGAACGTGCAGAACTTTTACTTTAGAGTCTACCTAACTCGTTTAATCAGCTCATCATCAACCTAACAAACAACGTCCTTACGAACAATCTAGTTTTCGACAATGTTACAGCTGCTATTCTGGAGGGAGAAAATCAGAGCAAGAACAAGGAAGACAGACAGACAAGTTCACAACAAGCGGAGGCCTTATCGGTGACAAGAGGAAGATCAACGGAACGTGGCTCCAGTGGGAGTCATACACATGGTAGATCAAAATCACGAAGTAAGAAGAATATCAAATATTACAAATGTGGCAAAAGAGGGCACGTCAAATCAGAGTGTTGGCACAATAAGAAGAGTGGTGATAAAAAGTCTTCAGACCTATCAACATCTCAAGGATGTGTTGTCAGCACATCAAATAATGGTGAAATTCTATACAATAGAGCAACCACAGTTGATGAAGACATAAAGAGGTTTGCTGATGTCTGACTTCTAGATTCAGCAGCCTCCTGGCACATGACCTCTCGGAGAGAATGGTTTCCCAAACATAAACTTATCTCATGAGGATCTGTATTCATTAGGAATGATCATACCTTGGAGATTTCTGGTATTAGCACTATCAAAATCAAAATGTTTGATGGTATAATAAGCACTATTCAAGATGTGTGACATGTGAAGGGCTTGAAGAAGAATCTATTGTATTTAGGATAATTAGATGAGCTCGGGTGCAAGACCCATATAGCAAACGAGATCATGAAGATTGTTAGAGGGGTGCTTGTTGTGATAAAAGCAGAAAAGATAACTGCAAATCTATACATGCTCAAGGGAGAGACTCTGCAGGAAGTTGATTCATGTGTGACATCAACTAGCCGTGGAGAAGAACAAACCATGATATGGCATCACAAACTAGGCAATATGTCAGAACGAGGCTTGAAGATTCTCTCCGATCAGAAGTTATTTCTTGGACTTAATTCAATAGCTCTTCCATTCTGCGAGCATTGTCTTACAAGTAAGCAGCATCGGCTAAAGTTCAACACATCGAGTTCTAGAAGTGATGCTATTATGAAACCGGTTCATTCTGATGTATGGCAAGCACAAGTTACATCATTGGGAGGAGCAAAATATTTTGTGTCATTTATTGATGATTACTCTAGGAGATGTTAGGTATATCCTATCAAGAAGAAGGCAGATGTGTTCTCGGTCTTTAAAGCCTACAAAGCGCGGGTCGAGCTTGAATCTGAAAAGAAGAGCTAGTGCTTGAGATCAGATAATAGAGGAGAATACACAGACGGTGAAATTCTTGCATTCTGCAAGCAAGAGGGGATCGAAAGACAATTTAGTACTACTTATACACCTTAATAAAATGGTGTGGCAGAGCGGATGAACAGAACTCTATTGGAAAGAATAAGAGCAATGTTGACAACTATAAATCTAGATAAAGTCTTTTGGCCGGAAGCAGTAAAAACCGCATGTTATGTGGTGAATCGATTTCCATCAACTGCAATATAATTGAAGACGTCGATGGAGATGTGGACTGGCAAGCCAGTTGATTATTCCAACCTCCATATATTTTAAAGTCCAGTGTATGTAATGTCCAATGCCCAAGAAATTACAAAGCTGGATTCAAAATCTAGAAAATACATATTCTTGGGGTATGCTAATGGAGTAAAGGGGCATCGCTTACGGGATCCCACTGCCCACAAGGTTATCATCAGTAGAGATGATATCTTTGTAGAGAATCAACTACAAAGTGAAGATAAAGAAAGCAATTCAATGAAGGATTTAGAGACTGTAGCTATTCAAGTAGAAAATGATCCAAATTCTTCTGAAGCAACACCGGAGCATGATGTACAAGAACCAGTTAAGTCCGAGACTCCAAAAGTTCGAAGGTCAACTCGTGAGAGAAGACTACCGACTTGGCACTCGGATCATATTACGGAGAGCAATATTGCATACTATCTCTTAACAGAGGATGGAGAACCATTAACTTTTCATGAAGCTATAAATAGCACAGATGCATCTGTGTGGATGGCAGCAATGTAGGAAGAAATTAAAGCTCTCCATAAGAACAAGACTTGGGTACTTGTGTTACTACCACAAGGAAGAAATACCATTGAAAATAAATGGGTCTACAAAATCAAGCACAATGATGATGATCAAGTGGAGCGATATCGTGCTAGATTGGTGGTAAAAGGATATGCTCAGAAAGAAGGTATTGACTTTAATAAAATATATTCTCATGTAGTTCGACTTACAATAGTCCGAATCGTCCTGACTATGAGCGTTATATTTGACCTACTACTAGAGCAGCTAGATGCGTAAACAATATTTTTCATGGAGATCTTGAAGAAGAAATTACATGCTCCAACCAGAAGGTTTTGAAGACGAAGGAAGAGAGAATTTGGTTTGCAGATTGTACAAATCTCTGTACGGTCTAAAACAGGCGTCGAGGTGTTGGTACAAGAGATTTGATTTATTCATCATGAACCTTGGATATAACAGACTTAATTCAGATCCTTGTGCATATTTCAAGAGGTTTGGAAAAAATAACTTTGTTATCTTATTGTTGTATGTTGATGACATGTTGGTTACAGACGCCAACAAAGATCGTATCAAAGAATTGAAGGCTCAGTTGGCTAGGGAATTTGAAATGAAGGATTTAGGATTTGCAAACAAGATTCTAGAAATGCAAATTTACCGAGATAGAATTAATAGGAAGATTTGGCTTTCTCAAAAGAATTATTTGAAGAAAATTTTGCGGTGCTTTAACATGTAAGATTGTAAATCAATTTCTACCCCACTTCCTGTTAGTTACAAGTTATCCTCCAGTATGAGTCCTAGCGGTAAAGAAAAAAGAATGGAGATGTTTTGAGTGTCGTATGCATTAACAATGAGAAGCTTAATGTTTGCTATGATTTGTACAAGACCAGACATTGCACAAGCAGTGAGAGTGGTAAGTCGATACATGGTAAATCCTGATAAAGGGCATTGGAATGCTGTAAAGAGGATCCTAAGATATATTAAGGGAACCTCAAATGTTGCATTAAGTTATGGGAGATCTGATTTTATTGTTAATGAATATGTTAATTCTGATTATGCAAGTGATCGTGATAATAGTAAATCCACCATAGGCTATGTGTTTGCACTTGCTGGCGGAGCTGTAAGCTAGATTTCAAAACTACAATCAGTTGTAGCTACTTCAACAACAGAAGCAAAATATGTAGCAGCTACACAAGCTAGTAAAGAGGCGATGTGGTTGAAGATGGTGCTGGAGGAACTCAGGCATGAACAAAAGAAGATTTCTCTATTTTGTGACAGTCAGAGTGCTTTGCATTTTGCAAAAAATCCAACCTTTCATTCAAAGACCAAACACATTCGAGTTCAGTACCACTTCATTCGTGAAAAAGTGGAAGAAGGAACAGTGAATATGCAGAAAATTCACACTAAAGACAATCTAGTTGATTTTTTGACAAAAGCAATCAATATTGACAAATTTATTTGGTGTCGATCCTCCTGTGGTCTATCAGATATATGAGCAATATGAAGATGGCAAGATAGAAAGAATAGTATGAAGATATGATTGATACTCAATTAAATCTTTAAGTGGGAGATTGTTAGCCGTAATTCCAGACTCACAGCCGCAACTTTTTGAAAGAATGAAAAAGAGTGGGTCTCACCATCACTTTCGGTGTCGAAAGCAGTCCTAAGGTTTGAAATGAGAAATGTATAGTAAAAATATTAATATAATATTAGTGTATAGTATTTTTTTTTCAAACACTATAAATAGGCCCCAAATTCTTAAGGAAAAATCCTCCTAGAAACAACTTCACAATATAGAGGAGTGAGAGAAAAAAAATAGAGAGAGTTTTTTCTTGTAAAGAGAGATTGTAAACTCTAAAGTTTCTCCTCATAGTGGATTCTTTCTATCATTGCCCATGGTTTTTACCCCAAATTTATTAGGGGGTTTTCCACATAAATCTGTGTGTTTAATTTTTTATTACTTTCACTCTACTATTGCTACGATCCTGTTCTATTGGGTCCTGTTTGGTGTAAAAATTAACTCCCGAAAAGTGATTGTTTGTATTAATAAGAATGGCTTATTATAAACTAAGGATCAACAAATACAACAGAAGCGAAAAGAATATTATTCTTGTTTAATGTGGGTTCTTCGGTAGTGATAGGATGTCTCCCTCGAATACTTACGTCGAGTTTGCTTCCTTTGGACGATCCGATCGAAACTGCGGTTGAGCTTCAGTACGCAGTAGAAGCTCTTGTGTGATTGAGTTTGATTACCCGAGCTTGATGAGTGTCAAGGCCGAATGCTTAAAGAAGGCTAATATGTAAGAGTTCGCAAAAAACCAAGAGTCTCAAATCTAAGATTTCAGATTGAGTCTACTTCAATAATCTAAGCTTCTGCTTAAGAATATCCAGCCAAGCTCTCAAGATGCTAAGCCGAACTCTTAGAATGGCAAACTTCCAAGCCAAAAAATCTCTAGCCGATCAAGCCTCTCCAGCCTATCTAGCCCCTTTCATCTGGCCAAAGGTGGCTTATAAATACGCAAAAGAGGCATGGTCAATCTCTTGACTTATGGTATGTGACTGCTCATAGGTAAGGAGCACCATAACCTCCCCTATAGCTATGGGATGTGACCACTTAGGGGTGATGAGACACATACTTTATCACCCAAAAATATTTCCAGTGTTAGTTGTATTTTCACTCCCACTGTTTCTTCCTTTTAGGTAAGGAGCACCAAAATCCACTTAGTGGAATCTTGACTTATGGTATGTGACTGCTCATAGGTAAGGAGCACCAAAATCCCCTTTTGATTCTTCCTTTTATGAACGAGAGGTTCGCGTTTAAATTGAGCGACCAAACCTTCCTACAGTTAGGATCGTCTCAAACCTCCCACTTGGTCAAACATTCCTACAGTTAGGGTCGAAACTGGTGTTCCCTCTCGATAAATGAGAAATCCACATTCAGATTAGATAATCAAACCTTCCGACAGTTAGGATTATCCGAATTTTGAAGTGGAGATTCCACTTTGAGTTTCTTTTGCATCTGGAGATAGAATATAACTTTTTTTCTTTCCAACATTGGGTTCGTCTTTGCCCCAAGAGAAGACACCACCTTCCAACACCAAAATTCATGCCTTACGCGCATGGGAGAATTTATCTCGATCCCTAAATAGAGATAATTCTGCATCTAACACATGCTGCAAGGTGGTCCGTTCCCGTGAAAACGACCAAGTCTACGTATTCAACACCGTAGCACCAAGAATCCATGCCTGACACACACGAGGAATTTTATCTCAAATTCTAAGTAGGGATAAATCAGCGTCAGCGCCTAACACGTGTTATCGGTTAGTCTTTTACCACAAAAAAGGTAAAAGCCCACGTATTCAACATCATGACAGACCGTTATTAATAACGCCAAATTCCGTGCCTGACACTTACAGGGAATTTTATCCTGAATCCTAAGTAAGGATAAGTCAGTGTCTAACACGTGTTACCGGTTAGTCCTTTACCATAAACAGGACAAAAATCCCACATACTCAACATTATGGCAGACTGTTAGTAATAACGCCAAAATTCGTGCCTGACACTCACAGGGAATTTTATCCTGAATCCTAAGTAGGGATAAATCAGCGCCTAACACGCGTTATCGGTTAGTCCTTTATCATAAAAAGGAAAATAGCACACATATTCAACATCGTGGTAGGCCGTTATTAATAACGCCAAAATCCGTGCCTTATATGCACGGAGAATTTTATCCCGAATCCTAAGTAGAGATAAGTCAATGTCTAACATGTGTTGCTGGTTAACCTTTCTCCGTGAAAAGAACGCTAGGATTCACGTCTGGGGGATGTTATCTCAATCCCTGAATAGAGATAAGTCTACACCTAACACGCGTTACCGGTTAGTCTTTTTCCATAAAAAGGACGAAGTCTATGTAATCAATATCATAGCACCAAGTCTAAGAGAGTTCATTATCCAAGCATAACATTACATGTGAAACGGATTTAGATAATTCATGTGTAAGCCCGATTCAAACGGTAATCGGTAAAGGCATATCAAATCCGTTGATGGCTAAAAGTTTGCCAAAAATCTTAAAGTCTGTGTCTAACACGTGTTATCGGGTAGTCTATTCTCACGACAAATGAGGA